GTTTGGTTGATTTTGCAGGGCCAAAAAATAGAAATAATTGCTGTATCAACAGGTTGTATCCTTACGATTCGATACGATCTGTAATGGCTATGTACTTTTCTTTTTTTGCTGCAACCCTATGAGTAAAAACATCTAATTAAATCAAATATTAATATATTAAAAAAAAATAAACATAGATAAATAAATGTACATATATATATATATATATATATTTATACCCATGCTAATATGAATGCATACATTTGTGTATCAATTCTAAGTTGGACCCGCAGCCATTGTGGCTATAGCTAGATTTGGTTTTGCAACTAAGTTTCAAAACATTAGAAACCATTCAAATAAAAATAGCGTGGATAAATCCAATCATAACTCCAATCAATTCCCTAAGTCATAAACTAAATCCATTTCGTAGTATAGATACAGATGCATCCACCGCAATTCAATGATTTCCACGGTTATAAACCGCTGGCAGGTTTCAATGCGGTGATCGCCGCCTGTGCCCTGCCTGGTCTGTGGGACACGGCCCTCTGGCTGCTGCACCACATGGGCATTGCCAGGACAATGGGGCGCCACAATGGATGAAACTTCATATTATTTATTATTTGTAGGTGACTTTCACCATGACTCACCATGAACATGATTAAATTGCCAGAAAATGGTGGTATGCCACATTTTCAGACACACCATGACACACCCTAAGTTTCACTTAGCTAAAATGCTGCAGGATGCAGTAAGATGCCCTGCTGCAGCTGCTTGCCTGCCAACATTTTTGCTGTCCTCGTTTTCAAGAAGCCAAACACATTCTGGAAGTCGCTGGAAGTGATGGCTTGAATGAAGCCTTGAAGCCTTTGCATCTCTAGATTGGCTGCGTGTCGAAGGATCCAGCACGACATTATCAGCAACTTGGCGGAAGTGCTGCACATTTCATTGGAATGGAACCCAAATATTCCTGATATGATATGATTACTGTATATTCTCCCATCATAGTCCGGTTGCAGATAAAATTGTTCAGTTTGTTCATTCCTCCATTCTGGAAAAGCAGCTTTTGGCTGGTAAACTCATCTAGGATCAATGGTTTGTCCTGCATTCACCTGGTACCAGATGAAGCATCCAGCATGTCACACCGAGATCTCTGAGGCATCAATAGCTGCATCACAGCTTGCGATAAGGACTGATTTGCTGCTTTCCATACCCTCGGGGTGATCATTTTCTGCTCTTGCCCCATGAGAGATACAAGATGGTGCCCCAGTTCGTTAGCTAAGTTGGTGCGAACAACTCCAATTTCACTATGGTTTATGGTAGAGATATCTATACTTGCTATAGTTTATAAACCAACTTATAACTGGGGGGGCATCACCTTGTACGGATACAGGGAGGACTACATCTTTGATCCGGCCTTTGGTAGGCAGACGTTTCAAGTCCATGTCCGTGTGACAGTTTTTTCATGGACTGCCTCTCAAACTCTGGCTTGGATCATTCCATTCATGCAAGCCAAGAGCAAGCCCCTCGTGTTTTAGGAATCAGAACAAGATGACTCAACATTTGTGAACCCCCAAGTAGATTCAGAATACCAAAATTTATGGGGAGAAAACATTACCCTCTGGTTATTTAACATAGCCATGGAAAATGGTCCATTTATAGATGATTTTCCCATTGAAACCTCCATTTATAAGGGATTTTCCATGGCTATGTTAAATAACCAGATGGTATCTTTTTCACACGGCAGGCGGGGCGCTGGGAGACGGCCTTGGCGCTGCTGGCGGAAACGGAGGGGGCTGACATCGTTAGCACCTGGATGTGCCGGGGGGCAAGTGATTATATAAACTCCATCAAAATCTAAAAATGCTATATACCCTCTTTGATATATATCAAAATTATCAAAATACCATTTTTATTAGTTATATCAAAATGCTATAACATGATATAAAAACACATTGAAATGCTGCTATATACCCTCCGGTTTCAAACGTGGCTGGAAAATCTGGTTGCACATCTCCCATGACGATTTTCCAGCCACATTTGATTACCAGAGGGTACAGTAGTACAGTAGACATGATGAAACGCCGTAATAACTTTCGGGTGCAGTTGGGTTTGTTTATATGGCAGTGTGTCAAAACCTTGTACCCCTGGTGAACATCAAAATAGCTTGTAAATGGATGTTCATCCCCCTAAAAATGGTATTATAATAGGTATTGATCCATACCCATATGGGTAGAACTAACATGGTTTAACCATGTGATTTTAACATGTCGTGAAAAAAAATAACGACTGTAAGTTGGGATATGACCTCTATTTCACTCTGGCTGGATAAGTAGCGCAAATTGGCATCAAACTGTAGCTCAGGCAGCTGGAGCGACAAAGCAAATGAGGATATCAGGACATGATCATCCTCATCATCCATTAGTTCTTTACGCCTTGAAATAGAGACTAGATGATTTTCGTAGATTATTAAAGATGGAACCCTAATGGATTCTACCAGATACTGCAATTTCAAATTAATGAGGTTATGCCGCACAATGCCTGTGAAATGCCTATGGTTGGTTTCGTGGTGCCGTCCATGGCGGCGCTTACACGCGCGGTTATGCGCGGTTTCGTTCTGAGGCTTCTCAGCGGCCATTAGCGCTTGTGGCTTCGCAGAGCAGTGGCAAATTGCGCTGGCATTGCTGGCAGGCAGGGGACGGGCTGGGCAAATTTGATTTTCCCTGCAGAACATCAAAAATTGTTGCGATACACCATTTTCAAACAGACCCAAATGGATAGAAATGAATTGTAATGTTCACATCGTATTAATTACCCTCGAGAAGAAAATCATTTGCTGAGTAAAGTTCAGGCCAAAGATACTTCTTGGGACCCCGGACATGGAGTCAGGTGATTTTTCTTCTTAGCTGAGAAATGTAATAATTTGTTTTTTCTGGGAATGGAGATGGATGTTTGTTTTAAGTTTGAATTGAGTGTAAGTTGACTTCAATTTTGATTTGCATTTAAATTGATTCGAATCTCAATTTGAATCACATTAAATGTGAACTCACTTTGAATCACATTAAATGTGAATTGGCTCCAAGCGCTTCCGCTTGAAACTGAAATGGAACTTATATAAACTGGTTTGAACATGAATTAGAATTGACTTTTTCTTTGGATTTTTAGGAAGCTCCCCAAAAAATGGAGCACTCTATTTGGGGGTCAAACAGTGCTGTTTATGATGGTTCCTATTTTTTTGAGGCTACCCACTTGGTGAGTTTGTTGGGAAGCAGTTTTGAAACAAGCTGCAAGAAGGAACATGAAACTTCAGGACTTGGATTGTCCTATTTGTTACAGTGGATTCTTAAGGATGTTTTAGGAGGGCCCCTAAAAATGGATCGCTTTATGTGGGTCAAACAAATTGTTTGAATGCTGTTGGTTATTATTTGTTGCCACTTGTTTATAGGCGACCCCCTTTTCCCACTTGATTCAAACAAATAGGAGGGAAAGACGGGGGAAACAAAAACAAAAGAAATGACGCAACAAAAATACCTCCCAAACAGGTTGGCGTTCTTTGAAGGGTTTGTTAATCAGTCCTGGGATTTGACTTACTTTATTGTGGCAGGGGATTGCTAATTAACATGATATGAACATCATTAAATTATCGAAATCTGTAGGCATAATCAAAAACTTATTGTTTATCTTTGTTTTAGATTTCCATGCCCGTGCGAAAAATGTGACGTTTCCATGCGCCTGGCAAAAAAATGTGATACTGTTGATTGCAGAAGAACATGATAGGAATATCAGAAACTCATGTTTTAGGAGGTCAGGGGGTTGTCCCTGGAATGTTTCCAAATGTCTTGAAACAGAGATGGTAAACGAAGTTGATTTAATATGTTTGGAGTATATAGTTGCCATGGACAATCCATTTTGGACTCTGACCTTTTGGCCCACCGACTAGGCACTCCACTAAGTCTCAACAGTGCGTTCAACAAGAGCTCTGCGCGGGTCTGTGGCTTGGTCGTATAATGGCCCTTCCATATTTCTGTTGGGTTATGCAGATGATCGGTTTGGTATCCCTATCACATGCTATGGTGGATGCTCAGCTATCCTTGTCGGGTAGATATCACAGCTGACGGTACTGCATAGGCAGAGAAAGAGACAAAGCAAGCTGGAGATGTAATGAATTGTAATGATGTAACCATGAATATTTATATGAATATTGTGGGGAGATTTGGCTAGAGCCAATGCTGTCACTGTCATTTAAGCTTCCAATCAGTCGCAGATTTGTCGGTGACGGCATGTTACTGTAGCGGCTGGCGGACTCGGTTTTCCATGGTTTTTCTGGATCACATTGTCACAATAAAAAATCAATAACATAGTAAACTTAAATTCGCCCATACATGTATGTACACACTTTATTATATATATATTATGTGTGTGTAATTATGTATGCATATCATATATCAATCCAATTCTGTCTATATACTGTATACAAATATCATCCTATATCCTATATCCATATTTATCCTTTAAAGTGCATGGTTTGCTGGAAATGGCCAGCCACCTCGTTGGCCAGGTTGGAACACCGCGATCAGTGCCTGTGAGAACTTTGGCAGCTCGAAGGGTTCCAAGAAAAACAGATTGTCGATTGTATATCCCATCATGTGTCCATAATGATGGTTGGATATGGTTGGTATATTCCCATTACATCCCCATAAAAATGCCTTGTAAAAAAAAAAAAAAACAGCAGCAACCCCCAGATTTCTTGATGACAAAAACCAGGGTAAAACCAGCAGATCTCCCCTTCAGCCAATCTATTGATAGACAATGATTCACAAATGTGGCCAGTATATAAAGTATATTAAAGTATATAAATAATTATATCATCCTTTCATATCCCATCACTTTTCTCTAGCGTAGGGCTAGTATGTTCCCATGATGTATTCCATGATGGGTGGTATATTCCCATTGACATCTCGATGTTTGGACCAGGAAGGGGCAGCAATGGCAGCAGGCATTACATCTCCTGTGCCTCGGTGCTCTCCCGCTGAAAAAGGGGAGATACCTTCCATTTCCATAGCTTCCACAGATAGACTCCAGGTTTCCAACTTCTCCAAGCCTACGAAAATCTCCAGGTTTCCAACTTTTCCAGGTTTCGATGTGAAAAAGATGATTATTCCGCAAGATTTCCAGGTTTCCAACTTTTGTATATTGAGTTTTGCATATAGTTTTACCTTCCAACACGTGCGCAAAAATAATTAGAGATGTTTGAAACATGTTGGTATATAATGATGAATAAAGATGCATATAAAGATGGCGATGGAGAGAGAGAGAGAGAGAGAGAGAACGATATATATATAATTATATATATATATACATACACAGATAAATATGTATACATAGCTTTTTCCAGATTAGTTGAGCGGATGGCAAGCGTATCAGACAGACATGGTCATCAGAGCACAGAAGCACTCATCTCAAGCCAAATGGTTTTCTTCTGGGGTATGGGTCGGGTCGGGGCAAGCGGTTCCATCCCATCAGAGAAAGAGAGAGCACCCCCCTAAACCGCTAAACATTCCTTACCGTCGTCATTGACCCATTCTTGTCAATCCCTTCTCCCGACTAAACAGGCCCCAAGAACCCTGGTTTAGTGTATACAGTAGATTTCTTCATATTTCTTCTTTTGGATCTTTTTGGGGTCCTATGGCCTATGGCAGGGGGGATGGGGTTAGTCTTTCTAGTGTTGCTGGTTGCATCTCCATTCACCATTCTTCGCGTTGTTGATTGCATCCCCGTGCATTCTAGATCCAGCTGGGTCGATCTCCATCACAATGTGGCAAATCCAATCGTAAGCCATCAACAGGCTGTGGTATATGGGATATATATATATATAATATAATATAATATAAATATAAATATAAATGTAAATATAATATAATATAATATAATATATATATGGGATTGGGTTTGCTGCACTGCATCTTCATCAAAAGATCGGATTTGTTGTTCAAAATTCAAACTGTAACCCACGAAATACTGAGGTCCTCTATGCCGACAGCGGCGCTGAGTCCGGACGTCATTAGCTTCTGGGTGAGGAAAACTGTGGGAAGTTTGGGAGAGATCCCTAGAGCAGCTGCAGGTTTGTTGAACAAAATTCCTGTTGATATTCAACTGACTTTCTTTTAGCTTTTTTTGCTCAGAGGTAGCTGGAGCTGCGGTTTCTCTGCATTTGACCTCGCGGCTTTGACATATCTCACCACTAAGGCTACAATGCGGCCATCCGTGCCTGCGAGCAAAGCAGTTGGTGGAGAAATGCGCTGCAACTGCTGCAGCTTGGACAAGTTGTGGTGGCCATAGTAGCAGTATCTCTTGAAACAAAGGTTGGAGGACAGTTCCGGGAAAAAATTGTTTGAGTGGTTTAATATATTTTAATATGGTTTAATGCTATGTTGTGTCTCTTGCCAGAATGCGCAATTTGATTGGGGTATCAGAGCCGTAAGCCATGAATCCCAAAAAAGTCAGGATATTTTTGTGCGGCATCATTGCGTGAAGCTGATTTTTGGCCGTATCCTGGACGGCAGGCAGGATGCTGGTCCTGGTGCGGATGTGATCACCCACAATGCTGCCATGGCAGCCTGCAAGAGCCTTGTTGGAACAAACATGAGAACAAACCAGGGACCAGAAATGGACATGTTGCATGACCTTGGCTGGTATGTTCGTTGCATTCGAAAAAATCGTTGCCTATTGCAGGGGGAAAAACATCAATCCCTTTGCAAGTATGTACACTTGAACGTAAATACATACTGTACATAAATATGTCTATGACTGTCTACGTGAATAGTTGCTGTATTTGATTTACGGTGTATGATTTTCAAAGAGAGGGAGAGATGTACGCAATGGGTTATGGGTATACCTATAAGCTTCGAGATTTAATCCTTAATCCTTAGCCAGATTACGGATTAATTAAGGGTTTGCAGATTGCGTGTTTTGGGGCAGCATTCACAATGAAACTGCGGGTCAACCCGCTGCAATTGATTGCAGTACTCTGCGACTAGTATTGACTCCGCCCGGACTGTTCAGACACCAAAGGCACTCCCAAGGCACTCAAAGGATCTCAAAGGTAGACTCAAAAACTAGCGAGGGAGAACCGCTCAGCAATGGAGCCATTGGTTTTGACTCTGCCCGGACTAGTTTGGACGCCAAAGGCACTCCAAATGCACTCAAAGCTAGACTCAAAAGCCAGCGAGGGGGAACCAAACAGCAATCGAACCACTAGTTTTGACTCCGCCCGGACTAGTCTTGACACATCTTGACACATCTTGACACATAGACTCAAACGCTAGCAGGGTGGAACCTAACAGCAATTGAACCACTAGTTTTGACTCCGCCCGGACTAATTTTGACACCAAAGGCACTCCCAAGGCACTCAAAGGTAGACTCAAAAGCTAGCGATGAGAAATCGTGTTACACTCTCATACCCAGAGGTCACCAAGCACACTCATTCTTGTTTAACCCATGAACGCTGCCATGTTATATGTACCGGGATTCAGCATTAAATCGGATTAGCCCCCGGAACGGGATTACTGGATTGAGGATTAGTTTTAAAACGCGGGAGATTTCGGAGCAGCCACTGTATATAGATACAGAATGATAAAGACAGACAGGCAGGCAGGCAGACAGACAGACAGACAGAGAGAGAGAGAGAGGGTGTGCAGCCATCCTTCCTTGGCGCAGTTCTTTGGCATTTAGCCAGGTCCACCTGTTTGAGCCTGGCTGTCCGAAATCTTCTTGGCTCATCAGCGAACTGCAGGTTCAATGGAGGAGATCATTTCAGGGCCAGAAATTCCACATTTTCTGCTGACATTTGGAGACTCTCTATCACTTACTTCCTGTCGCCATGGCGCGTTTGACAGGGCTGGTGCTGTTGGCTGTCTTGGCTGCCGCCCTGCGGTCCCTTGCTTGGGTCTCTCCGGGTTTGACCCCAGTGCCGCGTGTGGGGGTGCAGCGATGTGCTCAGGTGGGGTATCAGCATGTATAAGTTGCGTTTGTGGGTGGGATTTTCTGTTGGGTGTTCCAGGTGTCACCATAAGTTCTTCCATGATGTTCCCATGGGTTTCCACGAGTGTTCCAGTTGTTTCATGATTTCGGCCTTCTGTTTGCAAAGTCGTCAGGTCATTCATGTCCACCGTGAGTCTTGGGCGAACGAGTTTAAACTGCCTGAGTTTCGTGGTGTTCTTCCCAAGGCATCCTTCCACATCTGGGCTTCCCCAAACCAGCCAGCTGCAGGTAGACCCTGGAGACTGCAAGGCCGTACGCAACGATGCGGTCAGCGGTGTGCAACTTCCCACCATGGATGAGGATGAGCCCGCCTGGCTGTCCTTTGTCATTGCCCGATATCTGGATGAGGAGCGCCTACCGGGTATGGTAAACCTTTGTTGAGCAGCTTAGTGGGGGATCTGTGCCCAACGGGCAATCAGGATAATCATATTCACATCATATTCACAAACTCACTAACCAGCCCCAAAAAAAAGTACCCAAGATTAGCGGTGGATGATTGGAGAAGGTTGATATCGATCCAAGATTTCTTTACCAAAGAAGACCAAGGTGGAGCTGGAGGAGATGATCTAAGGTGGTGAAGAAATGGGCGCCAGTCACATCTAGTCACCCAATTTAGGAATCACTGGAATTCGCCACATGTGCTATACATGTGCTGCATTGTGCCCTGGTATTTAAGCTCCATCTGTTCGCCATAACTTGGGTCTACCCTCTGGTAAATTAACATAACTATATGGAAAATCATTTTTTTGTGGGTAAATTCACTATAAATGGGCAATTTTCAATAGCTATGTTAGTTTACCAGAGGGTATATACTGCAACCTTTTTGGAAAAGTTAAACCGATGCTATTGATTGCGACGGATTTCCCTCCATGGATTTTGAGGCACGCCGATTTGACCACAACTTGGGCCCAGGAGTGGGTGGAGCAGCCTGTTCACAAGGAGATTGGTGAAGCGGTGGCGCAGATCTACCGTGAGTCACGCGCGGAAGGTGGGGCTTTCGCCTCCTCCTATCTCAAATGAAAGATGGGGAAATACTAATGTGGTTAGAACAAGAATAACCATAAATGGGTGGTATAAACTTTATAAACCATCAAAAATGTGGTGGCTCATTATTGTTTTACCCACGTTACTTCCAATATGCAATGTTTTTTTTTTTGGGGGGGGGGGGAAAACTCTCAGGAATTTGCTTTTTCATCAGTGACGCCAGCAGGTGATGATGACCTCATTGCAGTTCTGGCCAAGCTGTCTTTCGGACTTAAGGCCAACGGTTGCCACGCGAGCCAGAGTGGCCTTACTCCAGAGTCCCAAAGTATCCAAAAATCTACAGGAAAAAATGGTACCCCCATAGGAGATCGAAACTGAAAGACTTCACCCAAATCAACTGAATCAATTTTGGGACCGTCTATTTCTGCATCTGAAACTTTCGAGTTGCGCACCTTCGCCTCTCCCACCCGAAAAAGTCGAGGGATGCCCCAAAAAAGGCCCAGGGTCCTCCCAGCAGTTGGTCTGAAAATCGTGTAGCCATGAGTAGCCCTAAATCCACTGGCCAATCATAACTGGGTAAATTATAACGACCTCACTGCGACCTCACTGGAAGCATGGTTAGTAAGAGGAATCATCCCAAAATTGCCTTATTTCAGGTTAGTGAATTATTATAATTTACCCAGAATCATAATGTTCCCTCTTAAACTTGCCACAACTGGCTGCCCTCTGCAGGACATGTGGCGCAGCGCTGGCTTTGGAGACGCTTTCGAAGGTCCAGTGGACGTGGCCAACCGAGTGGCAGAGCTGTTGATGCTGCGACAAGGCTGGCGGGGTGGAACCCGGGCGCGGAAACGACTTGGGGGTTTTACCTTCCAGGGAACTAACAAAATATATGGAAATCCCTGGCTTTCCCCAATGACCTAATGATCAAAATCATGGCTGTTTTTTCATATCTATCTTAGTTTACTATAGAGTTACTAGAGCGTAGAGTCCGAGGATATGGGCCCCATGCGCTTATATGATTTCAATGGATATCCAGGGGTCATGGATTGCAAGAGTAGGAATCATGATGCTGCGGGGATCATTGTCATTTCATCATCATCATCATCATCATCATCAGTATCAGCATCACCATCACACATTTTATATGCTACGCATTGCTACGCTGCTACACGAGCCACAATCAGCTACCAATCTGTCATCAGTGCTGTGTCGTCTTCGCGGCTGCTGTGTCGTCTTCGCGCACTGCCAGGAGGAGAAGTTTGGAGTTACGGTCGCAGCAATTCAGATGTCCAGCAAAAGATGCTGAAGCGGCTTGAAGAGTATGAAGAGGTGGGCTGCTGGTCAATGTGAGCTGAACACGCCCAAGATTTCCCAAGCTAATTGCATTCCAGGTGCAGAATCTTGCAGTAGGATCGCACTCACCGAGAGTCAAACTCAAAGATTCAGACTTTGTTTTAAAAACACAGTAGACCACTTTGTCTCTGCGGAGAGGATCCAAAGACGGTATAGGGAGGTCATTGAAACCTACTATGCATGGTGACCTTTCCCCACTTTTTCGATGCTTGTGAAGCTGGAGGCCAGAAAGCAGCTCGCAACCGTTGGATGAGCAGATTTTGAGCAGCGTGGCTTGCAGGTGAAGATCTAACGGCACCGGAAAGTGATCGACCAATGATTACCTACAAACTCAGGATCGTCATAAATTGTCCATTCCCAGGTTTCTGCGCCATGATTGGCATTCGTGCGAGGGTTTTGACACAGAACAAACATCACAGGTTTCCACGTGAGCTGAGGCACGATTGGCAAATCTTCCCCTGGCTCTGGCACGGTGTCAGAGCTCGCGGTGCGGATTTGGCAGCTGTGGGGGTGACACCTGCAGATGCACCGCCCCGCCGCAAGTCAAATTCAGCCGAAGTCTCTTGCCCCTGTTGGATGAACATGGATGAACCATTATAATTTATATATATATATAATATATAATATATATATAATATATATATATATTTTTACAATGATACCATGGAACATGATAAACAAATGATGAAATATGATATCATTTATATTATATCTGATAGCAATGAGCTGTCTACTATGATCATCCCATTCCGGGTCACAGTGGAAAAACTACGGGGGTGACACCCCTCTGAAACCAACAAGAGGCTGGCTGGACCTTGTCAGCCGCTAGCCGGTCCCTCCTCATGGCAGCATGGCAATGTTTTTGCCAAAACTATCAAAGAGTATCCATTTTACGTAATGAAAAAAATACACTTCCTGAGTCTAAGTAGCAAGAAAAATCTGGTCAGACGCAAGTTGGGTCCTCCTATACATGAAGTTCATCATGTTTACTTGAGCTATTGAAATGCAGCTGCAGGGATTGCAATATCCCCGCGCCGGCAGGGACCTTTGAAGGCCCGTCGATCTCGATTTTCCTCCGGCTGGCGGCTCCCAGACCCCCGAAACGACATGGAACAAAAAGAGTTGGAGTTGCTGCGAAGACTTGGAAGACTTGGGACTAAGGGAAATGACGGATGAAATACGGTAAAATACGGTAAAATTAGAGATAATGAAAGAAATTGAAAGAAAGGTCATGAGTCATGACGCAACTATTGCTTTGAAATAGCACGCATCTGATCGCAACACTACGACATTGTTGTGGGTTCATCATGTAACACGTCCCTTGGATTCAGAATACCCTTTCGGACTGGTCAGACTAACTGCCTTGGAAGCCCGGACATCACCAATCGCGTGGAGGAAATAAATTGGGGTCGCAGCTTGGGTTTCTCGCAGTCTTTAAATGGGGAACCTCTATTATATCATATTATCATATATATTATCTTAATGGCGAAAAAGGATGAACATGGATGAACAGCACATCTGGTTCTGGTTGGTGGTTTGGAACATTTTTATTGTCCCATATATTGGGAATTTCATTTCATCCCAACTGACTTTCACTCCATCATTTTTCAGAGGGGTAGGGCTCAACCACCAACCAGTACATGGTGGAGCCCCCAAGTGTGACCGATGGTGACCGGTGTTCCCAGGAAAGCCCGGGCTTGGGCGGTGGCCCTGGAAGTGCTTCGCGGCATGCCAGCGACTTTTCAGAGTTTGGAACTCGACAGGGGCCAAAGAGGGGACATATAAAATATAGATAAATAGATATGATATAAATAGTAAAATCATTCTTTGGGCGCTCATTTTTGGGAATTTCCATGAGATGTTTCGGAGGTTTGAAAATCATCTCAATCTCAAAGTTGGTGATCCCTCAGCTTGTTTTCCCATTGCGCTGCTTTGGATGTGCAATCAATGGCCATACCAGCTTCGCCTTCCCAGTGACGCCTTTGTTGATCCCCGGAATCCAATTGAGGTGAAACCATGTGAAACCCGTTCTCTTTTTTTCGCATTTTTGCATAGGATTATACCCATAGGATCCATGTATGCCATATATGGTAACATTTACCATCAATACACCCCCAATGTTACCATATATGGCATACATGGATCCTATGGGATATAATATATAATGTTCATGACTTCAAGATCCATCAAGATCATCAACTCTCGCTAGCACAACGTTTGCGCGACAAAGATCACATCTCCAAAAAACCTTTTAGATGCTATTAACATTATGTTATCATCATTCCATATCATTCCCCTCAAAAGATGATCATGTTTCTCAATTCATCCCAGCTTTCAATGGATTGGTTTAAGCGAAAATCTTCACCGGAAGCCATGGTTTTTGCAATGAAATATAGGGCTTTTCCTGGAAAATGTTTCCCTTAGACCAATCCATTGACAGCCGTGGTCTCAAGGACCATGGTCTCCAGCCGGACCACATCAGCTTCAACCTGGCCATGGCCAGTTGGGATCACAGCAACTGGCCCCAAGTGCTGCAGTTAGTGGCCAGGATGCGGGAAGGCCGCATTGCCACAGGCTCCAGCTATGTGGGAAGCCCAGGTTTCCGTGTGAAATGGGACGCTGATAAATGTTGACAACAACTCCAAGGTTGAAAATTAAGACAAATTAAGACTTCTGTATCTCAAAAAGGTGTTTTACCTGTGATAGATCATGAAGGATTATAATTATAACAAGACATACTGTCATAAGATTATATAAGGGTTTAGTCTGGATAGATCTCTGCAGTTGGGCGAAGCTACTCAGGGGGTCGTAGCGATTGTGGTTGTGCCTACGCGATTTGCAATGATTTGCTGAGTCGTTTTAAGGGTTTCTGTGGGTCAAATCCATGTATTTCCGTTGGATTCTTGGGTGACCATACTATTTGGTGAGGTTGTTTAGCATATTTGCTTGCATGGGGGGAAACGTCCGTCCCTGTGGTCATTCCTCCTGCATACTTCCTTTGGATGGGAGGATAATTCATCTTTGTTTACTTGATGGTTTGGGATCAAGAAGGGCTGCGGTGACCAGGGAGTTGCGCACTTCATCTTACGGTCAATGACAGCCCTGGGTCCTGCGTTTGAGACCTCATGAATCAGGGGTCGTCCGGGGGGTCGTCCGGGGGTCGTCCGGTTTTCATCTATTTCCGTTTGTTCACTCCGATTTTTCTTCTCTTCTCAAATTAATCCAGTCCGCCAGGTTTAGTATTGTAGAATGATTGTTTTGCAATACAACGTAGTGCTGGGTAGCGAGTCTGCAGTGCAAGGGGCAGGCTCTCTAGTGTTCTTTATACTGATACTTTGTATCCTTCAAATGAAGGCAATTCCCTTGTGTTTCGATGGATTGATGTGACCCTGCTGCGACCCGGTCGTGGCGACTTTTCCGCGAGCGATTTACCACATTCAAGAAAATTGCTGTGACTTCAGCTCCTGAAGAAGAAGAAGAATAAGAAGGAGAGGTTTTCGCAGAGGCAGCCCAAGACTTCATCTCCCGACTGTGTACTTTCTTCATGTTTCTTGGGTTTCGTGTCTGTCTGAGAGGCTGACAGTAACCTGCCACAGGGGTTTTCTGGCTCAACGCCCTGTCTCCGTCTCGCAGCGTCGAAAACGCCCTGTCCGCCATGGAAGCGAAGGCCAAGGCGTCCAGCCCGCCCCTGACCATCCGTGGGCAGAAGCTGTCTGGGGAGGAGCCGCTCGCCAATGAATCGTCACCCCACAATGCAAAAAATCCCCGGTTTTTGTAAAAGGATGTAATCGTTTTCGTGGCCCATATGATGGAATTTAATGGAATTTACGCATGTTGAGTTTATGAGTGATGATCTTGGGTTTTTGATAGGGGTAAGGGATTTATATATGATTTATGTGTCTTCCAAGACCATCTTGAAGTGCAGGGCCGCCGTGGGACCCCAGCCTCTCAGCTCCCAACCTTTGGGTACTGTATGGCTCCTATTGGTACCCAAACTATCCCAAATTTCGATCAAATTTGATGATGTCAGTTGGTTCCGTTGGGTCAGTTGATGTCAGTTGGCATCTCAATTTTCAGTCAGAGCCATTCCCATTTCAGGCTAAAGCCCGTGATCATTTCCGGCTCTTCTACTGTACAGCAGCTGCTTGAGCGAAGTGAGTTGCGTGAGGGTGAAACCCGACCAGGCCCTCAGTCCCCAGAATGGGTTTCACGTGGGATATCAATGGGGGTATTTTATGGTATTTTTAGGTTGGAATTCAGGAACATTTAGTTGACAACTGTGATGTGCGCTGAACGGGTGGCATGTGGAATCAGGTGGGCATCAAAATTTCACCAGGAAAGTTATGATGAACCCTGTGATGCTTCTGCCCATCACAGTGCGGGAGGCCCACATTAGGTAAAGATGATAAAAGCAAATTATGCGTAATTAGATTCGTTGCGGCAGTGAATGGAAGCAACTGGGGGCCGAGAGGAGAAACATCAGGAGCATTTCAACTGAATTCGTTGGGGGAATGGGCCCAAGGCTCAGTGATCTCTTTCGCGAGCAGCTTGTGGGCGCTCCGTGCCGCGTGACTTTGGCACTGCATGGGCGACTTGGCTGTGGACTTCCACAAGGAAGCCTCGGGGAGCTGGTTTATCATAGTAACATATATTGTACCCAGATAGGTCGAAGAGTAAAAACTCCTACTAAACAAATATAGTGGCACATACTGTTCTATTTGTTTGATTCTTTTTCGAGGTTGCCGTACTAGAAGGTTGGAAAACCCGGGAGAACTGGGCAAACCAGGTCAGACCCTTGGTTGAGTAGCTGTTTAAATATTTGTGGAGTTTAGTGGATTATTTGTGAAACCTCTTATTATTCTTATTTCTTAACCATGGGGTGGGGATACTAAGCCGCGCTGAACCCCTGGAGATGGCGAGAGAGAGAGAGAGAGAGAGAGAGAGAAAGAAAGAAAGAAAGAAAGAAGTCCCTAGAAAACACATACTGTACTCTTTGAAAGGCAGCGATCACTCAAGAAACTGGTGATAGCCATGATAATCCCAAGTTTGAATGGTAAGTCTGGCACCTCCCCTCATGGATGTCGTCCTCACAGCGGGCTGCATGTTTTTTTCTTTTTTTAAGGCCTACCCTCTGGTAAACTAACATGGCTATGGAAAATCACCATGTTTATTGGGAAAACTCACTATAAATGGCCATTTTCAATAGCTATGTTAAATTACCAGAGGGTATTGTTTCCATCCAAATCCCCAATGGTTGGAACCAGCGCGCCCCAACCCCTCATGGTTGATCATATGTTGATCCAGAAGCCCACCCTCGATGTTTGGACAACTCCCACTGGTCCAGGCAAGCGTTATCCATGGATGACACTGTGGAGAGTTGCCGCCTCACTGATGGGGCAGACGTCCATGTCATCATTCGACCAGATGCCTGGACCCTGCGAGAGGTTGGTATCAACGGGAAACCCAGGTGATTGAGGGAAACAACCTGAAACACCAAAATCTTGTCCTGCAAATCTGCCCTAAACCGATCCAGTGAAAAACCAGTGAAATGTGCACCATCTGACACCATCTGACACGCTGGCGTCCAGGTGGATATGGACACGGGCCTGCGGGTTGTCCTGGAAGGAGATGCTTGCCGGATGCCGAGGACAGGTTTCAGCGAACTGCAGGACCTTTCCCAGCGCAAATGAGGGGTTCAGCAAAGGGAACCCCAAAAACTGACATAAGCTTTACCCTCTGGTAAACTAACATAGCTATGGAAAATCACAATTTTTAATGGGAAAATCCACTATTAATGGTCATTTTCAATAGCTACGTTAAATTACCAGAGGGTAAGCTTTACCACATGGCAATTCAGGAAGCCCCCAGGCCCCCAGGGTGGCCCCCTGCGCAAACCCCAAGCTCTTTCTGAGGTTGGGAGGGTGAGACCCTGCTGCTTCGCCATGAAACGGCCTGTGCTTCACCTGGCTGGGAGACTGGTCTAGTGGGAGAACATCTGATAAACTGAAAGTCCCGGAAAGCCATGGGAATGTCATGAATATGATAAGTTTGAAACGAACCTCTTAAGTTTCTGCTTCTGTGTGATCTTGATGGTTGGGAAGCATGACCGCCTGAGATTCTAGATTCTAGATACTCTTTAGGAAAGTTCGAGTCATGAAAACAACCATTTCATACCCTTTCTGTTGACTCATGTTGAATCCAACTTGGCACGAAGGATTCTAGAGATTCCAACCCGAAGTCAACTACATTCAACTACCACATACAGCAACTAGTATGGTTGTTTTCCAGTCTGTGAGAAGGGATGGAAGTCAATAGAGAAAGGGTGGCCTGGAGCACCGTGGTATCATCTGGCAGCGCAGTGGGTAGGGCTCCAATGTCAAACCCGACCAGGTGGCTCTCCCAACAATATTATATAATATTATATATTATATTAGTATATATATATACATTATATACAAGGATTATCAACGCCCCTGAAGGATTATCAGACGCCCATCAGCCCTATCAGGGTTTGGTCACCCCTCTTTTTCGGTTGGGGTTACCTCGTTCGGAACATCTTGAGAGCCCCCCCTAATCAATCCATCGGAACATCCACCAGGCCCAAACTTGGTTAAAATTTGCCACCCATTTTGTGCCCACAGCTTTGGGGATGGAAAGAATGGTTTCCTGCTGTTTCCTGTATAGCACCCCCCCAAAGTCCCAAAGAATCAAACAGACACAGACCAGGTTTTCTTTCCGCTTGACTCGGCGGAGATTACGCACTTTTAGCTCTTTGAAGTAGCTTCTGGGATTTTATATCAGCGTACAGCTGCTTAGCTATGGACAATTGCCCATTCTAGATGATTACCTCTTAAAGATGTTGAATTTCCACATTGTTAAATGACTCAGAGGGTATAAAATCCGATTGATATTTCACAGATTATCCCCATTGATCATCTCCAAAAAAGCATCCCGCAAAAAAATCTGCATTACATCCCCATTATACCACTATGATATCCCTATAAATCCCCTATCGTTCCACTTCACTGAGGACATCTGCCCAGATCTCGACAGCGACTTTGCAGTGGAGGCCACGGTGAAGCTGGACGAATGGCCAGGGCCCGACTGGCAAGGTGCCGTGCCGGTGACATGTCGGTGGAAACCCGCAACGGGGGGGCTGCAAAATCCTGTGGAAAAAATGGTGATTTGATGTTTTTTTTTTCATGAAACATGATGATTTGCTGGTTTTTACCCATGTTTTCCCTATGAACAAATGGTGATTTGATGGGTTTTTAAAATGGGACAACCCCGTATATAAATGGAGCTTTTATATAAATCATTTTAATAGGAAAACCATAGAACCAACAATGAACTAATAGCGGGTTTTCAATTGCAAGGTTTGATGACACCGGAGGGTCACTGGCTAGTGGAGCTATAAACCACTTAAAAAATGGGACAATCCAGGAATCAGGGACTTACTAACCAGGGTTGCTAAACAGTTACTAAGTGGGATCCTTCAAGCAAAGCAATCTGGTCATCATGTCAACTGAGGGGTTCTCCCAGAATAGTTTTCCAAATTACGACTGAAATAGTATTCCCCCCTATAATTTTTTGAATCTTTTTGACAATTGACATCAATTGATCAACTGGTGGTTTGGCCAAACGGGTTCAGTAGATTTCGTTGTTGATGGGTTTTCAACTATGGTTTCCTGTCAGCAACTGACAATGCGGCAGGCACAGTGGTCTCGCAACATGGCAGTGGCACTGGATGGGAGCTCCGCTGTGGAGGTGGCATGGGCTTGGTGCTTTCCAAATCTTTCCAACATTATTGTTGAATACTATATATATTTGGGATGATGATCCTAAAGTGGGAAACTGTTTGGGATGGGTTGAAAACACCAATCAATCATCATATATCATCATAACGATCATACGATCATAATCAATCAAGACTTGAACCCATGTTCCTGCCAGGCCATATCCATCTATTTCCCCTTGAAATATCTTGGGATGAAAGCTCCATCGCTTGGTGGTTTCCAGCGCCAGGTCCGGGAGTGAACTGTGTGTTCACTACTTCACGCGGCGGTCACAACGAGCATATGCTTCCACTGATACCTGGGCTTGAAAGACATTGAAAGACCATACGAGACCATACGAAACCTTGAAGTGAAATCCATATGTCTGGCCTGATACCCTCTGGTAAACTAACATAGCTATGGAAAATCACCATTTTTAATGGGTAAAATGGTAAAACTATTTCTATGGCCATTTCCAATAGCTACGTTAAATTACCAGGTAGCAATCAAGCATTGTCAATCCAACTTGTGGGAATCTTCAGTGAATCTCTGTGGAATGGCATGCAGATGCATGCAGTAACCAGTCATGAAAGTCGTGCCCAGGAAGGGCAAAGTGGGCAAATGGCATCACCTTTGTATGGTCTACGAGAAGTCCACCCGTTCCATCACATTGCGACATGTCCAACCAGTGGTGCTGCTTGTGGATGATGTTCGGATCATGATACGCCGATACGCGATTTCTCCCGAATTGAATCTTGGAAGGTGCAATCTGTGGCAATATAATTATAATATTAATTGTGTTTATATATAATTATAGTAAACCTACGTATGCAAACCTCCTTCCAATTGTCGCATGATCCGTTTCTCACCTCAACCAGGGCGCATTTGTTGGGTGTGGTTGGACCGACTGCGCTAAAGGTACGCCGATGGTGTCGGGGGTGAGCCGAAGAAGATCGAGGGCAAATTCAAGCCCCACACACGAGGTGGCGTGGAAATCGGCAGGCGACGGGGTGCGACTGCGAATGCCGCGGGAAAATCACGGGGCATACATTTGAAATGAGTGGAGTGTAGCTGGGTTAAGTTGTTTTGTTTCTTATGAATTCTTATGATTCATTGTCTTTTTCATTGGTCTGAGTCTAAGTTCAAAGATGTCCATTGCAACCATGTAGTGCCACACTTTGAGAAGCACAGCTTGACGCTGAGCAAGGCCTTTTGATTGCTGAACATTTGGTTGTTAGCAGCAATTAACACCAAACAATCACAAGTTGTCATGTTTTATCATAGATAGACATTGTCTGACATGGATGGTGTCTTCTGGCGCAGGGTCCTAAAGTTTTTTGTGCCCCCGTGAGGAATCCGGCCTGGCATGATCGCGGCATTGTTGGAAGGATCCGCAACGCCACCGTTTGGCCTCAGGGTCTCAACACCAAGGACGGGCCTTGCTGTCCTGCTGTCAGAATTCTTCCGGCCAGTCACATAAAAAAAAAATATGTTGGATGACATGAGTCGCGTGACCCAAGCGCAAACTTGGGCCTGGCCCAACCGGTCATACGCTGCCAGGATTTGCCTTTCCTGGCTGCAGAGCAAGTGGCTCAAGCCGAAGCATCAGAACTTGATCTGAAGCCCACTAGTGCTGCAGCCAGCAGTGGCTAGCGACATGCAGGACGCTGACCACTAGTGCTGCAGCCAGCAGTGGCTAGCGTCATGCAGGACGCTGACCATTGCTCCATGCCAACATGGAATCACTTCAAGAAAAAAAGAGCGGATCATGAGAGCTGTGAGCTGGGCTTGGGGTGCAACCTGACGCGTTGTCATACGTTGTCATAGGAATCAACTAAAACGTTTTGGATTGTTTTGTCATTTTGGATCATTTTGGTGGGTATGGTGTCTTATAATGTTGGGTCAGCTTTTGTAGAGATGTGTAGAGTAGATGGTCTTGTGTGTTTCTTGCCCTAGCACTGCAGTAGGCCCATCTCCCCGGAGCCAAGGTGATTGCCATCGATGCATGCCGCAAGGCAGGCAGATGGCAATGCAGCCTGACCTTGCTGAAGGACTTCTCCATCAAGGCTGGAAACATCTGGAAACCCATGGGAAATCCTGCCATGATTTGATGGCTTTTGATCGATGGCAGCCCCATGGTTTAGTAAGGTTTAGTGCCCACCATGAATCCTTATGACGTTCTTTGATGATCTTTGATGTGTTTTTTTTTGTGGCTTTTATATACTATGCTTGGTTCTACTTTGTTGGGGGAGTTGTTAATCAAGGTTTTGCACTGGTTACTTGAAAAAGGCGCCAATCAATTCCTCAGCTGATGCCATTTGTGAGGTCACAGCTGCAGACTTGGAATCGTGCTATAATGCCACTATCAGCTGCTGCCCCTGGTTTTGGGCCCTGCACTTGGCTCTTGAGATGTCAAGGAGGCTATGGCAGCGCAGGGGAAAGAGATAGAAACACATGTGTTTTTTTGGTTTAGATGGAGTTTGATGCAGGTCGGAAAATCTCGATTTGGAGTTTTCTGAATGGTGTGTTTCTTCTTGCTTGCCATCCTTACGTGGCGATAACTAGCACTCTAAAACGCCAATCTTATTTTGGGGCTCAATGCGGTCCAGCCGCCAAGCAGGAGATGTTCAACAATGTTGTTTCATTCATATCCTTACCATTTATATATATTGTAGAACCCCCGTTTGGCTTAAGACTGCTTTTGCCGTTTTGGTGCAGGAGGGGGGGGAGTATTGATGCACGGCTGGTGCGCGGAAAAGGAAAATAGGGGCAATTCTTACATACTTCTCCCAATTGTTGTAAGTGTTCCCACCTTCTGCATACAGTATTCCATGTGTTTGTATATACGATACCTTTGGACCAGTCCCAGTCCCTATATAACTGACCACACTATGTTTATTCTAGTGCTGGGCCCTTTCGAGCCCTCAGGGGCCCATCATTCCATGGAGCTGCACGGCTGCACGCTGGTGCCAGGCACACCGTGAACGGAATTACTTGGGCACGGTGCTGCGGTTGCTGAGCCGGGCAGGGCGCCAGGACGTGTGGGATCCTGTGGGTATTCAAAACGGTCATGGTTAGCCAATGGGTAGTGGGCGGCTTCAGGTGTCATGGGGGTTCTCCCCAAACCCTTCCTTTCCATTCCTTTATTTCGCAAGTTTTTTTTTTTGGTTTGAAGGAGGTGGACAGATGAAAGGGAGAAGATGGGAGAACAGTAGATCCATGCTTGGCCATTTGAAATGCCCAATTTACAAGAGGACTTGGCTAAGCGATGGTCAGAAGAATTGAGGCGTTCCGCAGGGAGTGGGCCAATGGGTCAGGGGATACTACCAAAGGTACAAACGAGCACGGGGTGGTCTGACTAAGTAATAGACAGTGAGAAGGATACAATATGCTGCAATCATGGAAAAGCGAGCGACGGTACTTGGACAGGAAGCGAACGCGATAACACAGCAAATCATCCAATGTGTGTAGATTGTCACGAAATGACATGACTCACAATGACGCAGTGATTACTGGGCGACTGACTGACTGACTGGCCGATGAATGAATAAATGTGTAATATATATATATATAGATATACACACGTATAGGTGCACGGTATTTCTACCATAAGGGTCAATGGTTATTGATCAGCCATGACCAAGAAAGTCTTTATCCTTGCGCCACAAAGATCTATTTGTTGAGGCGCGGGTGGCAGCACCGTTGGCTGGCTCAGACGGAAGCGCCAATGTAGCGGGGCGGCAGACATGGAAAGACCAGGGTGGGTGGGGTGATTTGGATCCAACCAGCACCATGGACCATGTAAGGTGAACCCCCCGAACACATCCGAACACTATAATTACTGCGGGTTTAGCTAGTGGCATCTGAACCATCCATTATTGGAGGTGTTGGGCGGGTTGGTTTAATTCCCATCGTTATTTTCCTTGATGTTGCGAGTCTGCCAAAAGTGCTGCTATGCGCCACCGCAGTTCGCTTTTGATTTGTGAGAAGTCTTCAATCTCAATCAAGACTCATCCTTTCAACGGATGGAGATGCCTCCAATCCATTTTGGAGCAATTGCTTTGCCAACAACCTTGGCTGGATCTTGAGACCAGCGTTGAGATTTGGGCACGGGGCAAGCCAGTCGATCCCTGTAAAACTGACACGGTCATGGTCCAAGTCTTTGGGCTTAGGGTGACCTGTGGTGACGTTTTGGTGTCTGGATTATTAAACCGGTTCAACCCCGTACGAATTTCTGTTGGCTATATGTCATATGTGCATTCTAGTTTGTTGGGTTCTACCACTCTGAAGGACCATAGATCCGCCATGATCGATGGCCTAGGCCAGGAGTCTTGGAGAAGTTGCGTGGTGAGGCTAGCCCACAATGCCAGTTGCTGAAGGTGATTTTCTACGGCAAGTCGAATAGCCGGTTACCACTTGGTGTCATAAAACATGGCGAGTGCGAAAACTTTCCAGCCATGTTTGATGACACCGGAGATTGCCAGAGGGTAACTCGGTCAACTTAAACCGAAAAAATGTCACCGTAGGATTAATCAACCACCCCCTCCCCACAAGGTAGGTAGGTACCTTGTAAGGTCTTTCCTGTATCCCCCCTACCTGAACCGTAAAATTTTGGATATGGCTTGGAAACTATTGGCTGAAAGCTATGGGGGACATTGGGAATGAATGGGCAAATCCAAAGAAAAAACATTAGGGACATGGTGGTTGATTAATCAGGGGGCACCTTGGTTATTATTAATGGGGGACATGGGCTCATGGGGGGTACCCGGAGCTATCGAAACTGATGATTTTTATAAAGAATTTAATTAGAAATCGATCATTTGGGGAATAGTTTTTTTTTTCAAATGTTCAATGATCAGCAGTGATGGGTTCTGGTGTTCATGCGGTTTCAACTTAAATATATATCATAAGGAAACCATAAGGAAACCATTTGAAACTTTTGGATAAAAAATGGATTTCAGCACTGGTGGTCGATTAATCATCCCAGGCCAAACGGTTTTTAAATCCAGGGGGACCACCTGTTTTTAAATTACATTTTTTGGGGGGGGCAGTGGTGGTTGATTAATCGGGAGGGATTAATTAATCCTACCTTGACATTACGAAATATCTGAAAATTCTGAAGGTGCTAATCCACCAGGCGTGAAGAATATCATAATGGTAAAGATCTAATTTTTCGGGGGCGTACCTTAAGCAGAACCATCTGCCATCCAATGAAGAAATTCATGGGTTGCAGCAGTCCCTGTCCAAATTATGATCCGTGTGTTCCTTGAGGTTTACATATTCTCCGCACGCTTTGTAGCCAGTAGCTGCGGGGAATGTGAGATCATGTGAAATCACATTGTTCTGATATACCAGTGGCAACGGGGGTACCAGCTGACCACGCAGCGTGAATGTGTTGGTTTTTTGCATGTTTGGGATGCAGACCCGACAACACAAACCATGGATCCTTTGGGATATTTTGGGATTGAATAATTACTGTGTTTTCTTAAAATGGCGGTGCCTGCAAGCCATCCAAAATTACTGTAGATCAGAGAGAACATTGATGTTGATATGGAATGATATGGAAATCCATGGTTTGGAAGTCCCCCATTTAAAATTTAGGAAACCTCTGTGTTTAGCTTAGTGCTGGCTATAGGCGGTGCAGGGTGCAGGTGTGCTGGCAGTTTTGAAGCCCGCAGATTGCACCAGCAACTTGGCATTGGTCGGAGCCCAGATTGGGAAGGGCTTCGTGGGATATCATGTGGGTCTATGTACATTCTAGCTGATATATAGGTGCCTCTGACAATGGTGCTCACCCATGTATATGCCCGGAGAAAAAAAAACATATGATGGAACATATGATCGTGAAACATTTGAGTTACCCTACTTTCAGACCACCCCATGTGACAGATTGATGCAGTTGGGTCCCTGTGGTAGGTGGTACAACCACTTGTTCTTTTAGCAAGAGGGTGTGGGAAGTAACCATCAGAGACCTTTGGGCCTGTGGGACTGATTCGCAACCACTGGGAGTGTTATTCAACTGTTCAGAATGCCTGCGCCCGTAGACTGGAAGTCAGGGTCAGTATGAATACGGGACCCTTCAATCTGCTAGATGTGTGTTTCTAATGTTTGACGTTTGATGACCCATGTTGACACCTTGCTGGTTCTGGGATCTATGTTCAATGGAGTGTGGGAAACCTTTGCAGCAAGTTCGGCTTTTGGACCTAGAGGGCAGCCTTCCATAGTTCAAATATGTTCAAATTATACATATATATATATAAATATATTATATACATATATATATATATATAAATGTAATGTAATGTAATGTAATGATGCAATTTTGGCTCATGGATGTGTTGAGTCTTAAATTGAATGTCAGCAGTGTCCTTTCTGTCGATGGATCCTTGTTTGCCTTTTCTATTGGTAAACCATCCCGCTCACACATGTCCATCTTACTCTCCAGTCACCACAGTCCGTACCGTCCTACTGCTTTTAAGCCACAATCCTCAGAAAATCCCGCAAGTTCTGCCGGATTATGATCATTTTAATCATTTTGAACCATCCGGAACAACCGTTTGGAACCATGATTGACTGAGTTCTACCACGTAATGATATTAATTAAATTTAATTAATATTAGTTATATTATCTTAGATCATTTCAATCATGATGAAAATAATCTCAGAATCTAAGGTAAAACACCATGTAAAATTATCATGATGACCTCCTCCCGCTGCAGGCGAAGCCACGCTGGAAGGGCTGCAATCACAGTTGGCCACAGAGGGGTGGCCTGGAAAACTGACGTTTCCTGGTCGTTACCGGGTCAACTTTGGTGAATTTCTGTTTTACTTTAAGGATTGTTGATGGATTTTCTGGTTGAGCTAGTGCGCAATTGTTGGTTCATTCATTCTGGTTGATGTATGGTAATTCTTGGTTTGATAGTAGTTAGTCTATGTCAGTCTATGGATATGGCATTTTTTTTGCCAATGGTTAACCCATGGCAAGTTTTGGTTGGCATCTAAGATTCAGTCAGGACTGATCCCGAACAGGATGGAATTGCCGCAGAAGGCACCACAATCTTGAAGATACAGATACAGATGCAAGCCTATAACTCATCCATAATCGCGGAAAACGTCGGCCACTATGCTTTTTGGATCTTTTTGGGCATATTCTACGGCACCAAATCGGCACCAAACACCGTGGGAAGAAATTCCCACTTGGATCATCGGATCAGGTTGGTGTCCCGATTGGACTACCAGACCTCTGGGGTTTTGCCCATGGCCCTTGGTCCAGAAGATGGGCCTGCAGCACAGTGGCTCCAAGCGCAGTTCGCTTCATGTCAGGCCGGGGCGCCTTCAGCAGCTCGATGTCCCTAGAACTTGTTTGGAGGGTTTGTCTGAAAATAGCTCTACTGTGGTCCCGCTGGTGAATGATCATGTTTCCATATTGTGCCTATTACGTATAGCGATAAATGATGATAATTATGGTACATTGTACACCTCATTTTCCTATATGTAAAATTGTTACAGTGGGAGCACAAGTCATTTTCAGACAGACCCAAATCATATTAAGTTGGTTACACACCTTCCATTCAATCCCGATTAAATCCTCATTAAATTCCTATGGTTGATGGTTAAGCATTGTTAAGTAATGTCAAGTCCCACTTTCAGAGAAATCCGTTTGATACCCTGAGGTGAGCAAGGAGTACTTGTGCCTTTGCGGCTGCGATGACTCTGACTTGGAACTACTGGAGACCTGGAAGGGTCAACGCACGCTGGTGGATACGCCCTTGGCGTGCCTTGATGGGGCTGGTGAAAGTTTGGTTCCTGCCAGTTGAAGCGAATCAATGTGTTCGTTAATACGTTTTTGTTGTGTTTTGTTGTCATGTTGTTGTTGATGATGTTGATGTTAATGTTAATGTTAATGTTGTTTTTTCTCTCAGTGGTTTGGGCATATAATGTATGACTTACTAGTATCAATCCTTTAACATCTTGATAGATATTTCGATGGTTCTTTTTGCAAAATGGCAGGGCGTTTCCCCAAAGACTTACAGAGGCACAGAGTTTTCATTCTGTGGATGAGGATCATGCCGTTCACTAGGCCCAGAACTTGAGGGGGAACAGGACACCTTTTCTTTTTGGAAAACAGGGAGTTGCCACAAGACTTAGATTAAAGATGCTTCAAGATGCTTAAATCATTTTAAATCATACTAACAGTATATAACAAAATGTCTTATTCCATCCATCCAACTACACATCAAGCGTTCGGCCTCGCACAGGCAGCAAAGGTCGCGGCAGATTGGGCCTCGCGTGGTGCCAGATTTGAACGGGAAGGAGGCAGCACTGCCCTGCTGATTTTGGCAGTGCGGAATTTATAGCACGTTTTCCATGTTTTCCCAGGTTTTTCCAATCTATGGAAATATACAGCTTGGATCTTTTAGATTGTTTGATATCGTTTGCAAAAAGAATCCTTTCGTTGCAGGCGCGGACGGAGTTCCAAGTCCTTGAAACCTTTGAAGATGCCGGGCAGGTTCGGAACAGCGTTGCCATCATTGCTATCCTCTGGCAATCCAACATAGCTATGGAATGCTGCTATGGAAAACCACAATTTTTAGTACGTCAATCACCTACAAACTGACCAGAGGATATATATATATACATGGTTTTACATGGACGTTCCACATGGCCAATAGGCTTCCCTCCTTAGTGACCCCATGAACTCATCCACAGAACCCAGAGGTTGCCCGGTTGCCCCATGAGTTTGTACAAAAGATCAGCCTTACCAAGATCCACCTGGCTGAACCAACTGTCCCTGTGACTTCTTCAGCTCTTTCTTCAGTATCTTTGTTTCAAATCCTTTTCGCAACTATATGTAAATCATATCATATCAGATAATCCCATTGACAATCACATATATGTATAGTTTTATACATACATACATACATACGTACGTACATACATACATACATACATACACACATACATACATACATACATACATGCATACATACATGCATATGTTACATACATACATACATACATACATACATACATACATGCATATGTTACATACATACATACATACATACATACATACATACATACATACATGCATGCATATGTTACATACATACATACATACATACATACATGCATATGTTACATACATACATACATACATACATACACACACATACATACATACATACATACAGACAGACATACATACATACATACAGACAGACATACATACATACATACACATACAACATGCATATGTTACATACATACATACAGATACATACATATACATACATATACATACATATACATACATATACATACATATACATACATATACATACATATACATACATATACATACATATACATACATATACATACATATACATACATATACATACATATACATACATATACATACATATACATACATATACATACATATACATACATACATACATATACATACATATACATACATATACATACATATACATACATATACATACATATACATACATATACATACATATACATACATATACATACATATACATACATATACATACATATACATACATATACATACATATACATACATATACATACATATATACATATACATACATACACATACATATACATACATATACATACATATACATACATATACATACATATACATACATATACATACATATATACATATACATACATATACATACATATATACATACATACATGCATACATACATGCATATGTTACATACATACATACATACATACATGCATATGTTACATACATACATACATACATACATACATACATACATGCATATGTTACATACATACATAAATACATACATACATACATACATGCATATGTTACATACATACATACATACATACATGCATATGTTACATACATACATACATACATACATACATACATACATACATACATACATACATACACACATATATATATAATTGATATAAAATCCCATTGTGATGCCCGCATGATCCCAGCTGTCACTTCACCCAGCTCCCTGGCTGTCTCAGGCGTTGATGCTGGCAGCTGTTTGGCTGCTGACTGGGCGGATGCACCAAATTCGTGCCGTGGAATGACGCACCAAATGGGGTCCTGCTGGCTTCGGTGAATAAGAGCTACTGTAGGTGCTGGGAATGTTATATACTGTATATACATATGATATAATATTATATATATATATTATAATATATATTATACATACTTAGGCAAACATAACGGGATTTAATGGGATATTCATGCTACGAACCAATGATTATAACGGAATTTAGTGGGATATTAATATTACAATGCCCAACTAACATAGACCTTGAACATCGCCCATCACAAGAGGAAGGTGTGTGTTTGTTGGAGCGATGTCTTATTTTTATAGCCAATGAGAATTCATCCAACGTTCTTCATGCTGACATTGAGATAAGATATATATATATATACATACATACATCATTGGCTCATCGAGGGTTCATCCCACACTTAGCAAGTGGGTAACAACCCTGGTCAGATCTGGTCAGTACATAGTAAGTCCCCCAAGCGGGTAACGCCGTAATGCCATGTTATCCCCTTATGAAATCTTATAAATTGGGTATACTGACTATGGTTACGAAGAGTTTTCAGCAGCTCCGAAAAATCATTTCCCGCTTCCAAGGCGCTCACATGGCCAGCCTGAGCCAACCCATCGTGGGGGATCGAGCCTATGGGGCTCGAACGAGGTGACTTGTCCTTTTTGGCGTTTTATATAGTATATATAGTAGATATTATAAATGTCAATCACTAACTATAGTAATTAACTATGATATATATATATATATACATGGGTAAATGATAACGACCTCACGTCGCGACCGAACCCTGGAATCATGGTTTTCATAAGGGAAATCATCTCCAAATGGCCGCAAGATTCAGGTTAGTGAAATATTGTAATTTGCCCAGTTATATATAATATGAGACACATTTTACGCTGTATATCCTTACAGCGCACACTGAGATATGACATACATGTTTTTGCATACATATATATGTATATTGTATGTAAGCTTATCTACGCTAAGTATATCTAAGTGCATCTAAGATCATTTAAGTGTGTATTTATATATACACAGTATATAGTTATTTATAATTACTATTGTTTTTCCCCACCTGCCAGGTGAGGGTTGTTAGATTTTATGTCAGTTGCCTGCTCCTCTCCTCCTCTCCTCTCCTCCTCTCCTCTCCTCCTCCTCCTGCTCAACCGCGACCCTCGACGCACAGTGTTCTCTGTCGGACCTCAACCACGACCATCCACGCCCAGTGTTCCCTGCCGGACCTCAACCACGACCATCCACGCCCAGTGTTCCCTGCCGGACCTCAACCGCGAGTATCCCCGCCCAGTGGTCCCTGCCGGACCTCAACCACGACCATCCACGCCCAGTGTTCCCTGCCGGACCTCAACCGCGAGTATCCACGCCAAGTGTTCCCTGCCGGACCTCATGTAGGAAGATATGGGACAAAGAATGTGCAGAAGAAAGTTAGAAAGAATGTCAGACAAGTATGTTATATATTACTTGCAAACTCGCGCGTGTGTGGTAGAGTGACCGGGGCAATGCCACTTCTTACTTTGCAGGGGGCAAAGTTTGAAGCAATCAGTTTGAACAGATGACAGAGTCACTGGGGTGGACAGAGACATTTCCACTTCTGTACCTTTGGAGCTGTTTGCAAAGACGCTTGAGACAGGCAACATCTTAAAACATATGCCAGAACATATGCCAGAAGATATGCCAGATAGAATGCCAGATAGAATGCCAGAAGATTTGCCAGATAGAATGCCAGAAGATATGTCAGATAGAATGCCAGAAGATATGCCAGAACATATGCCAGATAGAATGCCAGAAGATTTGCCAGATAGAATGCCAGAAGATTTGCCAGATAGAATGCCAGAAGATATGCCAGATAGAATGCCAGAAGATATGCCAGATAGAATGCCAGAAGATTTGCCAGATAGAATGCCAGAAGATATATCAGATAGAATGCCAGAAGATATGCCAGAAGATATGTCAGATGATATGCCAGATAGATTGCCAGATAGAATGCCAGAAGATATGTCAGATAGAATGCCAGAAGATATGCCAGATAGAATGCCAGAAGATATGTCAGATAGAATGCCAGAAGATTTGCCAGTAATAAAATGTATAAATGCCATGGTGGGGATCATTCGAAGTGAAGTAATTTTGAGGGATACTTATCTGCATCCTTCCGCCTCGGATATATAGAGGTGACTACAAAAATGCAAATTTCAATTTGATGTGGACTTGATGATGGGTTGGAATTGACAAGCTCATGAATGAGACCACAAAGGAATAATTCGAACGAAATGAACGGGCTCTCGGGAGGGAACAGGGTAATATGACATAAGAAAATATGTCAGAAACGGAATGTTTTGGTTTCTTATGTCGTAATCATGGCGTTTCTATTATGGGATTTTTACAACATCACCACATGGTCTGATTCCAAGGTTTGCAGCGGGACGAGTGTTCCTCCATTGTCGATCCGTCAGCTTGACGGATCTGCTGGGGAAGCCCTTCGTGGTGGAATACCCACTACCTGAGGCTCGCTGGGGCCGGGGCGATCCGTGTCTCATGTTTGGCTGATCCGTTTTGATGAGTTGAATTTAAATTACCCTCTGGTAATTTAACATAGCTATTGAAAATGACCATATATAGCGGATTTTCCCATTAAAAATGGTGATTTTCCATAGCTATGTTAAATTACCAGAGGGTATATAATTACCCTTCAGTAGTCAAATGGTGGCAACGGCAAAACCCCTACCACCATGGCGATTTTAATGGGAAAACCATGTGGGATTTTCCACTGCCATGTTTGATTACCGGAGGATAGCCTGGAAACGACGGCTGGCCCATGCAAGAATTCAAAGTCATGAGGCCATGTTGCAGTATTGGACCGCCTTTTGGTGATACCAGCAACCCATAATCCCCATCATCATCCACATAATTCCAATATAATCCCAATATATAATCCCAATATAATCCCACTATAATCCCATATCATCCAAATTGTCATCCATGTTTGCCCATGATCCATCTCCAAAAAAAGTTTTGTATTCGCCCCAAGGACCTGCAGCAGATTCTCACTTCGCTGAGAAAATGACGAGCGCTGGGGAAACATCCCTGCCATGATTTGGGCGTTGGAAGATGCTGTAAGGTGATTTACCCTCTGGTAAACTAACATAGCTATGGAAAGATCCACCATTTTTAATGAGTAAATCCACTATAAATGGCCATTTTCAATAGCTATGTTAGTTTACCAAAGGGTACCCGCATGGTTTGTTCATGTCTGTTCTCAGGGTTCAGGTTAGGGGGATGGTATAGCAGCTAGTATAGCAGTTGAAGGACCCTCGATTGTTTCCAGTCGTGAAGGATTCTGTTTGTACACTGTCTGGCTTAAAAAAAACATGCTCTTTTTTGGGGGGGATGATTTTGGTATCAAACTTTAACTTTTTCGGCAAAGGGGTCCACATGGTCTCATCATGTTTCATCAAAACAATGCTGTGCTGTGAGCTTGAACGGCTGGTACCGCTGAAAGATCGAGATCCTGATACCCTCAAGTTTCATGTATGATCAAATTAAGATCAAATTAAACTGTTTTAGTTTGGTGCACTCTTTCCGTGCATTTATTTGTCTATGGGGTGACTTCAGTCATGTCTTATGGATCCCAGCTGTGGTTTCAGGAAACTGTGCAGAACTCTATGTTAGATGGTCAAAACATGGGTTTCCCGCTTCATATTCCTCAAACCAATCCATTGATAAAAATGGTGGTAAATCCAACAGTAAACTATCCCCGTGTTTTTCCCTAGAAATTGGGTAGTGTTAGTGCAGCATATGTTTTTGTACACATATAAAAAGATAAATCTTCATTGCTTGCTGTTGGTGGGTTGAGGCAGTGGAGGCTAGATATATGTCTACATATTAGTCTATCAGTCTAAAATAAGCTTAGTAATCCCATCTTCCAAATATAACATCCACCATCCATGCAGGCCCCAATAAGGGTTTCTGGGGGTATATCAATGTATTTCACATATGTGGATGGGTCAAAACTTATTACTACGATATTTGGTACCTAGGGTACCCGGATTTTGACTCATAGTCAATATATCAATATGTCATATATGTCAATATTTTTTTGTTTTGAGATTATTTATAAGTTTACTAAGCCAGTTGTTTATAAAAAACAATGATGGTAACTACTATAAGTTTACTAATGTTTACTAATGTATACTAATGTTTACTAATGTTTAACCATGGTTTACTACAAGTTTACTACTCCCATATGAATCCATATGATGGGTTATAGACATTATATTTAAGTCGAACCGGCCTAACCCATCCTGAATCGTTGGACCAAGGCCTTCCACTCCGAACTCGCGGCCCGGCACGCCGGCATCGGAATCGCCGCTGGGGGCCATGGAAGGACGGAGATGGTGATTTCATCCACGATCCTCAAATAATGTGGGTAAAACCATGGTAAAACAATAAACCACCCATTTGGGAATTGTGATTTGTATGATTTGGGGGATGGTTTATCATCGTTTTACCCACATTAGTGAGTTTTTTTTGTCGAAACAGAATCGGATTTGCTCCTGCCAAGGTCCAAATCGGGAAGCATGAAGAGGAACAACAGCATGACTCGTTTGCCTGATGAAGCCTTGATCTCAGCACCGAAAAACCGGGCCGATATGGAAGTGGTTCAGTATGGTTGCCGTGGCCAAGGCCGACGCTGATATAGAGCATAACCTCGAGTTCACATATGGAAATCTCATGAAATCTCACAATATGTAGATCATTTTCTTCTTGGGAAGCCATGATTTGTCCCCATTGTTTTACTATACAATATTCTTGGATGGTCAATTAAAACAATGTCAAATATTGTTGGTGATATTAAGTCATATTAAGTGATGTTTCATACATCCGCATTGTATCCCATTATATACATGTGCACACCATATTACATACCGTATCATATCAGTCCATATTCATTTCAAAATCTATATAGTGTATTACACATTATATCCTGTAATATTATATCCGAATATATCCATATTACATATATTCATTTATATCACATGTTATATAATTTCCCATAAATTTATTTCCCGTTAAATTATACCACAAATATCTCATATACATATATGTTATATATGATATGTCCTTATACTATTCCAATATGCATAATATATATATATATATACATATTTATCCCATGTACCTCTTACTATTCCTCTATATGTATATATATAATATCTATTCGATATGCGTACCATATATCATATATCCCAGCAGTGGCGGTCAGGCACCAGGCATCTCAGAGAGGACGGCCACACCGTCTCCAACCAGTTCTGTGGAGTCGCCCGGGAGTCCCGGGAAGGGAAGAGCTGGAGGGGATCTGCCCACATTTCAGAATGGTTTAATGGTGGTTTAATGGGGTTTAACCAACAAAATGGTGGTTTTAATGGGATTTATCCTGTGGTAAACTAACATAGTTATGGTTTAGATGGCCCGTAGAAATAGATGGTTTAGCGAACTGAAAAATGGTGATTTTCTATAGCTATGTGAAATTACCAGAGGGTATTATGTTTAATATACTATAATAATCCCTTCCTCCTAATACTAAACGTCCCCCTAATACTAAAAACAGGCATCCATCTCCAATTTCCGAAAATTTCAGTTTGGCCAATTTGACTTTTAATTGATCCCCTTTAAAAAACAAATTAAAAATCAACCTACCATTTGTGGGTTCTCCCCCCTAATACTAAAAACTAGTTCACCCCGGGGTGTTTAGTATTAGGGGGGCCTAGTCCCAATCCCTCACTCCAAGCTGCCTAGCTACTCTAGCAATTAGGGGTAAGCTTCTAACTGCCATTTTTGGCAATATTTTAATTGCGTTATATAAAGAAATTTAATTGATTTTGAGATCGGAAAAAATAGTTTTTAGTATTAAGGGTTTTAATTTAGTATTAGGGGTAAGCTTCGAACTGCCATTTTTGGCAATATTTTAATTGCGTTATATAAGGAAATTTAATTGATTTTGAGATCGGAAAAAATAGTTTTTAGTATTAAGGGTTTTAATTTAGTATTAGGGGTAAGCTTCGAACTGCCATTTTTGGCAATATTTTAATTGCGTTATATAAGGAAATTTAATTGATTTTGAGATCGGAAAAAATAGTTTTTAGTATTAAGGGTTTTGATTTAGTATTAGGGGTAAGCTTCGAACTGCCATTTTTGGCAATATTTTAATTGCGTTATATAAGGAAATTTAATTAATTAATTAACATGACTTCGATTTGGTTCCCTAATAATAAATACCCCCCTAATACTAAAAACTACCTGCCGTGTTTTGTATTAGGGGGGGGGGGTTTAGTATTAGGAGGAAGGGATTATGTATTTCCAATGTATTTAATGTATATGAAATATGTATTTGAATATTGCTGAACGGTTATAGGTCAAGAATTTGTATATCATATGCGCACATTTATGTTATTCTTATGTAGATGTGCACTCTTTTTGTTGCAAAACCACATGAATACTCAGATTCACCCCAGTAGAGATGAGAGATTTCTCATTTGGAAAGTCGTTGGCACCTGAAGTGTTGAGGTCTCGCCCCGGGTCTTCGGGATCCAATCGCAAGCAGGGTGGACTGCTGACGTGTAGCTGGCACGTGTTGAGATTTCTGATAGATTTCTGATTTCCCATCTTGACGGAGATGGATAGATGAATGGCATTCTATGAGTATCTAATTAATCTAGTTGTATCTAAGTAATTAAGAAATAACAGACGCCCACCATCAGAGCTTGGATGGGCAAAGGCCCTACCTCTGTTCTTGGACATTGGCCAAGAGTTTAGGGTTGAACCTGGAATATCCCGGCCGACACGCGGAGGATTCTTCGGAAACATGTGATAATCGGATTTGGTGTCTTGGGACTTGGGACTTGGGATGGATAGAAAGTGGTAGAAACATCTAGAAACACTTGTGGGAATGATGATGCATATTATAAAATCTTATAAATATTGTGGTTTATCATGATTTATCATGATTTATCATATTGCCTTCCAGGGGAGGCACACTTGGTGGTGCTGCACCCATTGGTGCCCCCAGTGGCTTCACCCAATGTTTTTCAAAGCCAGGCTGCCGATTGAGTCAGTCAGTACTCACGTGCCAATGGCAGCAGGACAACGGCATGGGCAACACGCAAACACCATTTGGAGATATGGATTTGCTATGGTTTGTTCAAAGGATCCCAAGGCGAGTTTAATTTTATGGCAATTTTCATGGGGCAAAACGATTGGAACAGGATCAGAAAAGCCTGGGATTTTAGGGCTCCCTTCACCCTTCGCGGCTCCCTTCGTGTGGCCCCAGGATACTCAGCAGTTCCTCGACAGAAGGGGCTTAGCTTGGGGATGGCGCTGTTTATACATATAACTATATGATATTATATACATATGATTTTATATGAATATGCATATATATATATATATATGCTATAATCCGATCCTTTTGAGTGAACTCTTGTTTAGCTGTGGGCCCTTTGATGCAGGGAACTTTCTTACATACTAGGATGAAATCGATGTTAAAATTGCACACACACACACAATCGCATACATATACAATAGACAAAGATGCAATAAGCAAAGTTGGCCTTGACACTCTGTGTTGTACAAAACCGTTTGCTTGTGCTGTGGTAGCTCGGTGTTGCCGCTAAGAACTCGCCGGTGCGCAACCAGAAGAAGACTGGTCACACCACGCATGTTTTCAACTGTCCAGGGTCTGATACCTCTTTGGTCATTGATTGTGCAGCTGATGATTTTCATGGCTACCCTCTGGTAAACTAACATAACTCTGGAAAATCACCATTTTTAATGGGTAAATCAACTATAAATGATCATTTTCAATAGCTATGTTGGTTTACCAGAGGCTAGTTTTCACTATCATTGCATTGCCTAATTTTCCGATGATTGCCCACTTCCTCGATCTCTTTTTTGGATCAACTTCCGCGGGCTGCACGGCTGCAGGTTTTCCCGTCAGTCATCCAGTCATTCATGTAAATCCACAACTCAACAATTTTTTTGACTTGCTGCACTTAGTAAATACATGTAAATACTGTATACTGTATAGATATGTATAGATGATGAGAGCATTTGGCAGCTCACAACTCGCCTCACAATTTCACGCATCATGTGGCAACTCCACACCGAATCTTGTGGGAAATGCCGGGTAAACCATCCTCAATGGGAGCTTTGGTTTGCCATATCACCATCTTGGGTTTGACGGGACAAAATAACATGGGGCATTTGACAAGCTGAAGGTTTGTCAATGTGTATCATCATTTTATCCACTATAGTAGCCATAATTCGTCCCATTTCATCCCACAACTCGTGAACTTGTTTAGAAATCCCAATATATACATTATACATATTATTATTAATCATATTATATATATATATCACCATAAAATGACTAATGAATGGTATATTTCCATTACCCCCCCTTTGTGGCCTGTATATATTGTTTCAATTCCCATTATATCAGAGGAAACATCCCTCTTGATGGCCCGAATTTCTGCCAGCTCCAACCACCCCAACGAATGCCATGCAACGCTTGTGGGGACCCAGAGGGGGCGACATGCAGAAGTGTGTCCCTGGATGTCCAGGAAGGATGTCCCTTCCCCCTGAACATGACAGGTGCCCCCAAATCGTTAGCTAAGTTGGTGCAACTCCAATTTTACCTTTGGGTTGATTAGGAGGTTACATCTATAGTTCATGGATGTTCCTGGAGAGTTCATGGGGATTATAAACCAACAAACATCACTGGTGGGGGCACCACCCTGCATGATATGACATGATGACCGACAAATGACCATATTATCTTGGGATACTATGGAGATGATATGGATTGATATGGAGGATATTGGGAAGCTTCACCCTCTGGTCACTTCAGAAAACGATACGGAAGATCCATGGTTTCCCGTTCTGAAAATGATCTACACATGGATACACATGGTAGTTTTCCGTTTGTTATATATGCAATATATGCTATTAGTTACCGGAGGGCAATATTATGGACCCACTTCATTAAAGCTCTGATGTAGTATTTTCTCTATACTGTATATAAATTGGGGGAACCTCTAGTGGTGCTACCATGAACCACCTCGAAAAGGACCACAAGTCGCTGAAGAATTGGAATCCCCAGCACTTCCCGAAGTCCTATGGTCAGTATTGGTCTATCAGTATCTATCAGTTACCCTCTGGTAAACTAACATAGCTATGGAAAACCACCATTTTCAATGGGTAAATCCACTATTTCTATGGCCATTTTCCATAGCTATGTTAGTTTACCAAAGGGTATCATCGTTTTTAATGTAGGGTTATAACAACAAACCATGCTCAAGGCCTGATGAGCCTTCAGAGTTGGAGAAGCCACCAGAGGCAAAGCAGGAGCGCCCACTTCGGCAATGGAAGGTGCAGAAAATCATGGAGCAGTTGGTTGCTAGTGGTTTGCTATATGGGTAACCATATATCTATATGGAAAACTTGGAAGAATGATTGATATTGGAATGATCCTGATTCACTAGTACTTTCAATGGGGGTTTACAAAACTAACCGAACCCAAACCACCAGTACGCGCACCTGGCCAATTGACCCAAAAACAGTTCGGGCTGATCCCTTCCTGCACGGTCAAACGTTGGAAATTCTTCATTTTTTGCATTCATTCTATATGGTGATCGATCTAAAGGTCCTTGTAAGGAGTTTTAATTGCGAAAGCCGTGCATGTTATGTTGGAAACCCTCGCGAAAGTTTTTTTCGAGTTCGCGAAAGTAAAATTTTATTTCGCGAAAGTTTCGCGAAAGTTGGGCATTATAATCACTATATATGTAAAGGGCTGCCACCCACTGCCGCCCGGGGTCCGGCAGGAGAAGGGCACCAGAGAATGCGAGTAGCAGTAGCCAAGTTTCCAAAAGTGAGGCTTTGCGAGAGCCAAACACCAAGGCCCCTGGTCTTCGCTTTTCCTTCAGTGCACCCCCTGCTGATGGCCGGGGTCTGTGAATAGGGATATTTTCGCGAAAGTTCCGCGAAAGTTATGCGAAAGAGCGGGTGAAAGTCAAAGTGCATGTTGAAGGGGGTGGGCCAGTAAACTTTGCAAAAAAAATCTGTCCTGAGAAGGGATTCCGTGATGCTAGCTGCATGTTTAAAAGGCTACCAAGAAGTGATCCGTGATTCTCTGGCGTTATTTGGCAGGTGGTGAACGAATCTTCATAAGAGGTGTTGTTGGCCAACATGGACCCCGCGAAAGATAAACATGGAGTTCGCGAAAGTTTCGCGAAAGTAAAATTTTTATTCGCGAAGAATGGCCGTTCCAGGATAAAGGAATTTTGATCAACAACCATATATTCAATTTTTCACCTCTAGATAGTGGTTGGGTATCAGACCCGCAAGGGTTGGGGTCGCACAAGGCATCTCATCACCCTGGATTAAAAACTGTATTTTCCCATCATCTCGATTTGTCATGGAAAAATGCAATTATGATAGACAAAATCCTCACAATGAAAGGGTTGGTAGGTTCATCACCCCTAATGACAGATGAGCTGCTCTAAAAACATCCCTTTACATTTTCAGTAAGGGCCTTGTCATAACCTGTTTGGCATAAGCAAAACCCTCACTTGCGTAAGGCCTCGTAAGAACTTCGCGTAAGGGTTTCCTCAATTTGCTTCGCGTAAGGAAAAACTCTACGCGCGTAAGCATGGCGTAAGCTTTGGCGTACCCAAAATGATACGACATAGGGAGTGACTGAAGGTTTTCAGAATGGCTCAGATGTTAAAATTTCCAGTTTCCAATGCTAGTGCAAGTGCCTTTCTTGGGTTAGGTTTTATTGAAGTCGACTTTAAACTTTAAACATGTGAGATTTAAGGAGTTTTCAATGGACATGGAGAACCCGGATAAACTCCGCAGGAAGCCGCCCCGGTGGGCAACAAGATGAGTGCCATGCGGGAAAGGCTCCGCAGGGACACCTGGCGATGCAGCGGCCATGAAAATGGCCAGGTCGGAATGATGCATCGTAAATGGCCATATTTTCTGGTCATTTCACGGTTTCTATTACCATCTGGTTATGACTAACAGTTTGCCATGGAAAATCATCATTTTTAATAGGTGAACCATCTATACATGGGCTATTTTCCATGGCTATGTGAAATAACCAGAGGGTATTGAAAATGATGAAAATGATGAACATGATGAAAATATGACCCATTTAGTTCGTTGATTTGCCTAAGATTGTGATTTTAGCAAACTGTGAGTTTACCAGAGCATAAACTGTGGTGAAATAATGTCTAATATCTATACAGTAATTAATATGAATATGTGATATGTGTTTGAGACACAAACATGGGGTCATGGGGGGTATATAATTACTACGGTATACAGAATTGGATATAACGGGATATCAAACCCAGCGCAGCGGCGCAAAAACAGGGTAAGGACACACATTGCAACCACGCTGCCAAGTTTGTGCATCATGTTTGCCAATATTCAATATTTAATATTCTATATTAATGATGATCTAATCTAATGGTTTGAATTCTACTCCCATTTGTGACAAGTGACTGGGGTGCACCTGGCTTTAGGTGCACCATGGTTCACCATGATATCCAATGATGATATTTCATCGTCGGTCTCTGATTCCTTACATCACAACTAGCTTAAGGAACCACAACATACTCTTGTGATCTCTTGTGTAAGCCAACATCGATGTGGAAAACCCAGCATTTGTAGATCATTTTTCCAGGGAAGCCATAGCTCACACCGAGGTCCCATCAAAACGCCTGCGGTGAAGCCACCCGAACCGCTGACTAAGAAGGTGGCCATGCTGGGCCATGGAGCTTTCTCACACTGACAGTGGTGACATTTTACCAATCCCAGAATTGTTGAAGATGTTGATGTTGCAAGGAAAAACCTACTGTACAGGAAAATTAGGAAAAGTGAACACTTATGTGTATATATATAATATAATGGTGAACAACATATTTTGTGTAGATTGTCTCTTATATCATTCCATCGAAGCTAAGACGGAGAGATTGAACCGGCAAACATGTGGATTTCATCAACAAATGATATTTCAGATGGCTTCACCAACGGTGAAGATAATTCATCAGCAGTGGGTTCACCGGGTTCAACTAACGAGAATGGACATATATCTAGTATATACTTTTGTTGGATAACCTGGCGATGGCTAATTCGGCCTTTTTGATATTCACCAAGAAATATATCTATGGAAAAAAACAAGGACGTATTTTCAGGAGGCGTCGATTATTGATGGAGGGTCATGGGGATGACCTTCGGGCACTTGGCCAAGTTTTGGGATGTCCCATTTTGAGATATATTGATGAACATAAATGAGGGTTTCTAAAAAGGGGGTTACCCCAATAGCTAGGTGGTTTATAATGGAAAATCCCATTAAAATAGATGATTTGGGGGTATCCACATTTTAGGAACCCCCAAATAAACATATAATCAAAGAGAAACGAGATGAAAGCAGCAAAACTGATGATGATCGGAGCAGGACTGGAGGGGCATACCTGAACATATGTTCAGCCATTGCCATCTACTAATTTTCTAGGCCCATGACTGGGATCATGTCTCATGTCAGGACCTTGCATTTCCAATTTTGGATCGTTTGATGATGTTTCATGATGTTTCATGATGTTTCAATCATCCAGTTCTCTTCATCTCTCATACTGTGGTCAATGCCTGCCTTGAGCCTCTGCCGAAAGATGAGTTGAGTCCTTCCCTGTCCTGCCAGATTGATAAGATCTTTCGCACGCTTAAGGCCGGTGACGGCCTCAGCGGGTCTGAAAAAGTATGCCTCGAGAAGTGCAAGCTGAGAGGTTGTGATTTCAAGTCAAATCTGCGCAGTGCTAGCATTTGAACAATATTGGACTCAGGTACAAGACCAGTATGAGACAATAATGCATGTACACATGCCCAGGAATATGAGTTGTGGTTTTGTTTGACTGTCAGCACACCCTGACGCACTATGTGCGTTCACTCCAAACACGTTTTTGGCCAAGTATCCTTGATCATCAGCCGAGAGCGCGCACACACACACAGCAATTACAGTAATCGCCACAAGGTTGGTACTTAGATTGTGGGCCTTTGATCTTTCGCCCCCTGTGATGCTTCAACCGAACTTCAACCAGGTAACCAGATAGCACAGCACTGCCCGGAACTGCACGGCGCTGCACAGCATGCAACACAACAACAGTTATGGTTTTTCTTTTTTTGGCATGGTGTCTTGCAAGGTCCTTTTACTCAGGGAACATTTTGAGACCCGAGCATCCACGCCGGCCATGGGAACCGGGGCGAGCATCGGAACGATCAAGGCAAAGAAGCCATGCAGGAGGTCCAAAATGGACGTGTCATGGACTTCAGACTTGGACGAAGAACCAGACGACTTGTTATCTTTCGCAGAGACGGGGAGAACGAGATTCTTATCGGCCATCGAGGAGATGGAGGAGATGGAGGAGGAGACCGAGGGGCCCCATCCTTCCCATCCTTTGAAAGCTGAAGCGGCACCTGGGACTGCTTTGGGACTACATCATTTACATGATGACATTGCTCGTTCAGTGACACTTGATGATCCTGGTGCTTCAGTAGCAGTAGGTCTTTGAAAAGACCGCCCAGTTGACAAATCACTTCATGCTGTGGGTTGCAGTTCTGTGAGGATGGCACTGCTTTTCCCACAGAGCATGTTGGTGCTCCAGGGCGCAGAGTTAAGTGCACAGCAACTCCAGTCAATGGTCATTGGAGGCTTGCAGTTGGTAATCAACCTCTGCGAGTGGTTGGGAATACCGGCCAATTTCCTGGTTTCTGATGGGAAATCCTCGCCCGGAAGGTCACAAACAGACGCGTTTGCACAACTCTCTGAATTGCTTATATTAAACAAACAAAACATAAAATAAAGCAACAATTAAATAAAAAATATACTTGCGTGGCTGAATTGGGGCAATCCCATAGGATTTGCAGTGGCAGGGTGATGCAAGTAAATTGGGGCAATCTCATAGGTGATGCGAGTGATATTTTTCACATGTTCAGACGGCGAAAAAGTTTTGCCGTGCTATGATTTCAACGGTTCAATAGTAGTTGAACATAGTTGAACTAATTATGGTGATTGCATGTAATTGCTGGTTCTGAAATAGTCACGCAAGCTCACACATTATTAAGAATGCCAGGCATGGTGCAGTGGGCATAGTGGGATCCGAGAGATGGTAATGACGCTACACAACCTCTGGCAGTTCTTCATTATTCTGGCTGTCCCTAAGGCGAATCGATCAACGACACGTATAACTTTGAGGAAGAGATCTACAGCGGAGGCCGCAGCTGTTGATGAATGTAGCTGATACCCACCTACTATAATGACCAATCCCAGATTTTGGATATGTGGGCCCGCTTGGTGCTTACAGAATTTTAGGGCAACACCCAAAAAGATTGAAAAGTAAATCATCGCTGTCTTAGCGGGAATTTAGGTTTCCTATCTTTTTGTTGGGTTGAGACGATTAATTTAATTGATTCTACTGTGTCCGTGTGCACTTGGTAATTACTGTAATGCACAACTTCTGAACCGGCCTTGTGCTTCCGACGAAGGCTGTAAGGGCCGTGTTTTGGTTTGGATCCTCAGCAGACCTCTGCAGACCTGGACTGCATGGACCCTGGATGAATGCCGATGAAACATGGAATGCTCAGGAGGTTCTCTCTTTTCCCCTACCCTCGATATCGCACTGAATTGATATTGAGATGGCCAATGGTATTTAAACACACGTCAAACACACACACACATATATATATATATATATACAGAAACCATCAAATCTCTTTACCATATTTGACCTTGTGAAGTAATTGCTCGTTTACTTGCCGGTGATGAGATTCGATTGCGTCAAGCACCGAGGTGGCTCGCAGAAAGGTGGATGGAGCAGAAGTGGTGCCGAAGCTCAGTGCCGACGAAGAGAGGGAAGGGCACCATTAGGATTGCGTGCACCGAACTAGGATCTTTGATGACTCTGATCTGTGCACAGTTTTAGATAATCTCAGACACATTATGATACATCATGATACATCTATATTTCAATAAGCATATTTAATCATATTTAAGCAGTGTTTAGGCCCAAAAGGAGCCATACAGAAATGCTCAATGATGCCATGAGGACGATGTCACAGAGAATCTTGATTCGCGAGCTGCACAAAATCCCAGGTGGTGAAGATTCGGGCAAAGCAGAACAACAGGACGTGGGTCCTTCTTCGCTTGGCGTAATGTGAGATAATGATGAGATGCTCTTTAGATCTCTTTAGATCTTTAGATCTCTTCAGCATTTTTGCCAGCTGAAGTTTGCATGTATATTATACATACATACATACATACATACATACATACATACATACATACATACATACATATATATATATATATATACACCCTGTGAATTCATGCCATAAAATATGCACATTGTGCAAATGACCCAGGAATTCGACTACGTTGGTAAAACCTCGCATTTTGAGATCGTTTCATGGTAGTCCATTGATGGCCATCAAATGACTGCAATACTCTTGAAAGGGTTCCAGTTTCAAAGCGTGACAAACCGTGACAGATCGTAGCTGGTCTACTATTTTCTATTAAAAATCCAGACATTTGATGTTAAATAATTAAATAGCGTGACTCGCCGTGACAGCCAGTGACGGGGCCCCTATATCCCAAAGTGCCACTCGCAAAATAGGGCACTCGCAAATGACATGAATTATCCCGGCAAGAGACCCCAAACAGTGTGGGGGAGAGGTAGGATAAGGTATATATATATATATATGATAATGATAATGTTGTTGTTGTTGATGATGTTGATGGTATATGATGATGATAGTATATGATGATGATAGTATATGATGATGATAGTAGATGATGATGATAGTATATGATGATGATAGTATATGATGATGATAGTATATGATGATGATAGTATATATGATGATAGTATATGATGATGATGGTAGTATATGATGATGATGATGATGATGATGATGATGATGATAGGGCATGATGATCATAGTATATGATTATGATTATGATGATGATGATGATGATGACGATGATGGCGATGATGATGATGATGATGATGATGATGATGATGATGATGATGTTTGATGATGATGATGATGATGATGATGATGATGTTGATGTTGATGTTGAGGATGATAATGGTGAGAAAGATGATGACAAGGATGATAGTGATAGTGTTGATGTCGCGGAAGATGAGGTGGAGGTTGATGATGTTTCGGATGACGAGGTCAAGGGGGAGGAAGATGATGATGTTGAGAATAATTCATGTTTTTGAGGAGGAGGAAGATGATGATGTTGAGGATGATGATGTTCAGGAGGAGGACCGATCGCAAGACCGGGACCCACACGTTGTGCGAGCCTGCGCGGTCGAAATGCACTTGGACATTTCACAAGAGCCACTTTATGGGAGACTTTACAAGAACAATGCCGGGGCCCAAGGCCGCGACCCACACTTTGTGCAAGCCTGCGCAGTCGAAAGCATTTAGACATTTCACAAGAGCCGCTTTATGCGGAAATTTAGAGGAAAATTTCTGGGGCCCAGAAGCGTGACGCAGACTTTGTGCGAGCCTGCGCAATCGAAATATGTCAAAATGCGCTTGGACATTTCACAAGAGCCACTATGCAGAAATTTACAGGTAAAATGCGGGGACCACACTTTGTGCGCGCCTGTGCGATCGAAATGCATTTCAACATTGCACAAGCAAGAGCCACTTCATACGGAAATTTCCGGAAATTTAGAGGGAAATTGCTTTTATGTGGCGAAGTGAAAAGTAGTCTTGGGGCATACCCCGGTTTGTCGGAAACATCATATACTTAGGTTGCAAAACGGGGTAGGAACACCCATAATTTTAGCGATGGAGAACGAGGTGAGGCCCCAAAATAACTGTACGAATATACGGGAATGGATAACGAGTTAAGAACACCCTTGCGATTACATGCGGTACCAATGATTACGAAAGACTTTCCAAGGCTCATAGGTGAATTGTACTTATAGCGAGCATGGTGGCTGGTTTGTCTCGATTCTTGGACCTGCTTGAGCAAAAGACTACAAAAGTATACAAAAGTGCAGTTGTTGCTTCAACAAATCAATGTACAATCCGAATCCGGATCGGGCTCAAAGAGCAGGAACGATCCAGACCCCCGGACCGCAGGTCTAGACGGAAAAGATGATACCTGCCATCCAGATTCGATACTGCATTTGCAAATTGAATATTTGCAGATAGAATATTGATCAAAGCAAGGTCGCCATGTCATTAATGTATATATATATATTATATATATATACATCACTGGTGTTGCAGCATTCTGGCTGACAAAGTTTGGCCACCGTTTTCATCTCCAAAAGATCATTACGGACACACTTAACTTTCAACTTTTAACCAAAGGCACAAATAAGATACATATATTTGATATACATCTGTAGTAAAGAATGCACAAACAATATTAAATTACTTTACTTCGAGTTATCCCCACCATGACATCTATACGTTTTGTTACTGGCAAATCTTCTGGCATTCTATTTGACATATCTTCTGGCATTTTATCTGGCATATCTTCTGGCATTCTATCTGGCATATCTTCTGCAATATGTTCTGGCATATCTTCTGGCACTCTCTGGCATATCTTCTGACATTCTAGCTGGCATTCTATCGGGCAAATCTTCTGGCATACGTTCTGGCAAACATTCTGGCACTTTATCTGGCATATCTTCTGGCATTCTATCTGACATTCTATCTGGCATACCTTCTGGCAAATCTTCTGGCATTCTATTTGACATATCTTCTGGCATTTTATCTGGCATATCTTCCGGCATTCTATGTGGCATATCTTCTGCAATATGTTCTGGCAAATCTTCTGGCATTCTATTTGACATATCTTCTGGCATTTTATTTGGCATATCTTCTGGCATTCTATCTAGCATATCTTCTGCAATATGTTCTGGCATATCTTCTGGCACTCTATCTGGCATATCTTCTGGCATATCTTTTGACATTCTATCTGGCATTCTATCTGGCAAATCTTCTGGCATTCTATCTGGCAAATCTTCTGGCATCTTATCTGGCAAACATTCTGGCACTTTATCTGGCATACCTTCTGGCATTCTATCTGGCATTCTATCGGGCAAATCTTCTGGCATATGTTCTGGCAAACATTCTGGCACTTTATCTGGCATACCTTCTGGCATTTTATCTGGCATACAGTATCTTCTGGCATTCTACCTGGCATATCTTCTGGCACTCTATCTGGCATATCTTCTGGCACTCTCTCTGGCATATCTTCTGGCATATCTTCGGACATTCTAGCTGGCATTCTATCGGGCAAATCTTCTGGCATTCTATCTGGCAAATCTTCGGGCATTTTATTTGACATATCTTCTGGCATTTCATCTGGCATATCTTCTGGCATTCTATCTGGCATATCTTCTGCAATATGTTCTGGCAAATCTTCTGGCATTCTATTTGACATATCTTCTGGCATTTTATCTGGCATATCTTCTGGCATTCTATCTGGCATATCTTCTGCAATATGTTCTGGCATATCTTCTGGCACTCTATCTGGCATATCTTCTGGCATATCTTTTGACATTTCTATCTGGCATTCTATCTGGCAAATCTTCTGGCATTCTATCTGGCAAATCTTCTGGCATCTTATCTGGCAAACATTCTGGCACTTTATCTGGCATACCTTCTGGCATTCTATCTGACATTCTATCTGGCATATCTTCTGGCATTTTATCTGGCAAACATTCTGGCACTTTATCTGGCATATCTTCTGGCATTCTGTCTGACATTCAATCTGGCGTTCTATCTGGCATATCTTCTGGCATCTTATCTGGCAAACATTCTGGCACTTTATCTGGCATACCTTCTGGCATTCTATCTGACATTCTATCGGGCAAATCTTCTGGCATATGTTCTGGCAAACATTCTGGCACTTTATCTGGCATACCTTCTGGCATTCTATCTGGCATACAGTATCTTCTGGCATTCTACCTGGCATATCTTCTGGCACTCTATCTGGCATATCTTCTGGCACTCTCTCTGGCATATCTTCTGGCATATCTTCGGACATTCTAGCTGGCATTCTATCGGGCAAATCTTCTGGCATACCTTCTGGCAAATCTTCTGGCATTCTATTTGACATATCTTCTGGCATTTCATCTGGCATATCTTCTGGCATTCTATCTGGCATATCTTCTGCAATATGTTCTGGCAAATCTTCTGGCATATATTTGACAATCTTCTGGCATTTTATCTGGCATATCTTCTGGCATTCTATCTGGCATATCTTCTGCAATATGTTCTGGCATATCTTCTGGCACTCTATCTGGCATATCTTCTGGCATATCTTCTGGCATATCTTTTGGCATTTCTATCTGGCATTCTATCTGGCAAATCTTCTGGCATTCTATCTGGCAAATCTTCTGGCATCTTATCTGGCAAACATTCTGGCACTCTCTGGCATATCTTTTGACATTCTATCTGGCATTCTATCGGGCAAATCTTCTGGCATATGTTCTGGCAAACATTCTGGCACTTTATCTGGCATACCTTCTGGCATTCTATCTGGCATACAGTATCTTCTGGCATTCTACCTGGCATATCTTCTGGCACTCTATCTGGCATATCTTCTGGCACTCTCTCTGGCATATCTTCTGGCATATCTTCTGACATTCTAGCTGGCATTCTATCGGGCAAATCTTCTGGCATACGTTCTGGCAAACATTCTGGCACTTTATCTGGCATATCTTCTGGCATTCTATCTGACATTCTATCTGGCATACCTTCTGGCAAATCTTCTGGCATTCTATTTGACATATCTTCTGGCATTTTATCTGGCATATCTTCCGGCATTCTATGTGGCATATCTTCTGCAATATGTTCTGGCAAATCTTCTGGCATTCTATTTGACATATCTTCTGGCATTTTATCTGGCATATCTTCTGGCATTCTATCTAGCATATCTTCTGCAATATGTTCTGGCATATCTTCTGGCACTCTATCTGGCATATCTTCTGGCATATCTTTTGACATTCTATCTGGCATTCTATCTGGCAAATCTTCTGGCATTCTATCTGGCAAATCTTCTGGCATCTTATCTGGCAAACATTCTGGCACTTTATCTGGCATACCTTCTGGCATTCTATCTGACATTCTATCGGGCAAATCTTCTGGCATATGTTCTGGCAAACATTCTGGCACTTTATCTGGCATACCTTCTGGCATTCTATCTGGCATACAGTATCTTCTGGCATTCTACCTGGCATATCTTCTGGCACTCTATCTGGCATATCTTCTGGCACTCTCTCTGGCATATCTTCTGGCATATCTTCGGACATTCTAGCTGGCATTCTATCGGGCAAATCTTCTGGCATACCTTCTGGCAAATCTTCGGGCATTTTATTTGACATATCTTCTGGCATTTCATCTGGCATATCTTCTGGCATTCTATCTGGCATATCTTCTGCAATATGTTCTGGCAAATCTTCTGGCATTCTATTTGACATATCTTCTGGCATTTTATCTGGCATATCTTCTGGCATTCTATCTGGCATATCTTCTGCAATATGTTCTGGCATATCTTCTGGCACTCTATCTGGCATATCTTCTGGCATATCTTTTGACATTTCTATCTGGCATTCTATCTGGCAAATCTTCTGGCATTCTATCTGGCAAATCTTCTGGCATCTTATCTGGCAAACATTCTGGCACTTTATCTGGCATACCTTCTGGCATTCTATCTGACATTCTATCTGGCATATCTTCTGGCATTTTATCTGGCAAACATTCTGGCACTTTATCTGGCATATCTTCTGGCATTCTGTCTGACATTCAATCTGGCGTTCTATCTGGCATATCTTCTGGCATTCTATCTGGCCGTTGAGGGCCAGCGGTGCCCACTGAGCTCGGAGGGTCCCAGGTTGAGGTCCAGCGGTGCTCACTGAGCTCGGAGGGTCCCAGGTTGAGGTGCAGCGGCGCTCACTGAGCTCGGACGGTGAGGGTGAGGTCCAGCGGGGCTCACTGAGCTCGGAAGGTCCCAGGTTGAGGTCCAGCGGTGCCCAGTGCGGTCAGACCCTTGCAGTTGAGGTCCAGCAGCGCCCACTGCGTGCGGAAGTTGGTGAAGAGCTTGGCGAAGAGGTGGCAAGGCGGAAGTGAACATGGAAGTGGAGGCAGAGGTGGTGGAGAAGAAGGAGGAGGACGAGGAGGAGGTGGAGGAGAAGGAGGAGGAGGAGAAGAAGGAGAAGAAGAAGAACAATTCTGATAAAATCTAACGACCCTCACCTGGCAGGTGGGGAATAAATTTAAAAAAATATTAAACACACATCTATAAAAACGTAGGCTCGAAACTGATGTTGATCAGTGCAGGTAGTGCAGGTAGTTGACGCCGATCTGATTGCTGCGGCAGGATGACTGAGCGAAACTGGCGTACCATCATGGCACAGATGCACGGCATCTCCACCAGTCGGGACTCCAACGCAACGCACTGGTTCCCCCAGCGTTCCTGCGCCAAATCCACGTTTTTCCAACCGTTGGACTCTCGTTGATGTTTTTTACATTTGTGTGATTTTGCATGATTTTTGTTTAGAAATTATTCATTTGTGATGTTTTCTGGACGCTCTTCAATTAGGATTCATGTTGGGCTACATGAGAAATAGAATGAGGCATGAAGGGCACCATTTTGATTTTTTTGTTTCCCTTCTCTCTCTCTCTTTCTACCTATGCCGGTTGGCACATTGCGTTCTAGGTGGTGGTTCCCATGAATGGCATTTGGCCAAGGAGTAGATGATAGGTTTGCAAGTTATGGACGCCTTCCATTCCCATGAGGTTTTATCCAAAACAACTAAACATTCCAAACAGAACACATGCCAAGAATTCTCCAAACATTGGCGAATTTCATAGTGTTTTATGGAACATCACCATTTTTAACAGATAAATCATGAATCAGTAAATCATCGTACTTAGTCCATCTGGTCCATTTGCCAGTGCCCAAACAACAACAAATTATCACATGTCATTGGCCTCTCCGCCATCGGCTCGCGAGGTGACCATGTGCTGGGTTTCTCTGAGATCGTGGAAGGCGAGAACGAATTTTTTGTCCCTGGCCTTAGTTCCAGGTGTGGCCACAGTGTGGCCCAATGCCAAATACCTACCATTTGGGATGGTTTATGATGTCTATACCACCCATAAAAATGGTGATAACTTGGGGATGGTTTATGAAATTGGGTAAACAACCCAATATATTTGCTTAGCCATTTGTCTACCTATCATACTCATACCTGTCCGTCTATTAGTTTATCTGTCTGTCTGTCTGTCTGTCCGTCTGTATGTTTGTTCGTCTATCTGTTTGTTTGTCTCCTTTTAGGTAAGCCTACCCCATAATTCGAAAGTCCAAGATGACCGATGTGTTGCATCCTTTTGAGTCGATGACGTTGAGGTCGTGATGCCCAAGTGCAACGGCGGTGAGCTCTTTGAATTCTTGGCGAATGAGACAGAGGCTGAAACTGGGCGGGACCTGCCAAGTTTGCCACAGCTGGTATATAGTACATATATAGCTGCGGACGGTGATTCCTATATGTTTCTGCTCTTCTTTCTTGAATGCATCAGGATATTGATGAGAATAATTGCAATTGACATCAATTATCATAGAATTGACATTAGTTTTATATGAGATACATCAGGATCATCAGGATATTCGATGATCATAAACCATCATACTGTAAACTCTCAGAATTGTAAACCCTCTTCTCCACATGCAGCATTGCATTGCGAACGGCCAGGTACCCGAAGCCGAGCCCGGCAGCCCAGAACTACAAAAAGGATGTGGACTGGGGAAACTGTTCGGAACATGATCATGCATGATCTAATTTCATGGTGGGTTTTGCACATCTATGTGAGTTTGTAATATACCGTGGGTGTGAGCACAACACGCGGATGCATGCCGACATATATGCCGACTAATGATTTGACATGATTTGAGTTGACACGATACATAGTCCAAGTGAGAGCAGCCCGCTTCCTCTTTACGCTTTGTTGAGGTGTAAAAGAATCATCCGGGAGATTTTGACCGCGGTAGGCACTTGGAGCCGTGTGGCAGCTCTTGGTGAACCACTCTTGTGACAAAGCTGATTTCCATAGATTTCCCCCCATTTTCGTCCACACAACTCTTAAACACTCTACAAGTTCATGTGAAAAAAAACACGCAGCAGCGCAGGGCATTTGCACGCAAACAACATCATCCATCGAGATATCAAGCGAGGAAGCCAAGTTCGATGAAGGTCTGTGACGGTTTTTATGTACAGAAGGTGAGTCAGAAAGGTTCCGCCATCCCCACTCAACACATCAAAAAACACCATATGATTTGGCATCAATAAATCACATGTGCAGCAGAAGCATGCAGATACCATGATTACCAGGCAGAACCTCTTACACAGCCCGGACTGAGGCCTGAAAATATCATGTTTGACATGGATTTGCATTTGGAATCTTCGCCCAAGACAGTGAAGCTCATTGACTTTGACACCTGTTCGGCACTTGGAGATCGTGGAGATCCCATGATGTCCCATTTCTTCGCCCTGGATCTGGTCATAAAAAAACAGATTTTCCACAGATTTTAACACTTTGCAATGGAAAATCGCCATCTTCCATCAGATGCCTTGGCGGCCATGCTCGGAAACATGGCCGCATCAAATCGAACTCGTTGGGCCATACGGATGCCACCCGAGGCCAAGAATGGACCCCACAAACTCCCAAGAGTTGCAGGTTCGTGGGCACGCTGGGCGCTCAAAACATGCCAATTCAATGCTTGTTTTTTTTTGGGGGGGTTTCTGGCACCATCCGGCTATTGGGGGATCCACCATTTATGGTGAACCCCCCTAATATGGGAGTTTTTGGCCGATGTATTGCTCGCAGAGTGACTTTGTCCAAACATGTGGACATTTGCCTAAACAAATCGAAGCATTTATGATATTTTATGATGAAGTTCCATGATTCATGGGGAGAATGAGGTTTTAAACCTCCAAAGCATGGCAATGTTGGAAAATCCCGCACTGAGGCCTGGCTACATCGCTAGTTGCTCAGTCCCAGCTATGAAAAGATGTGAACAGAAGGCATCAACATAAGGAGATTGGAAAGATGAAAGGCTAAACCTGGAGAATTGACAATTCGGACTTCTTACATGCCTTTATTTCAAGATATTTCAAGCCTGTGGTTCCGTGTTGGGATCCTGACTCAGTGGATGAGAGCCCCATCCCGAATCCAAGGCGCCGGAAGCACTTCAGGGGCAGATGTCCCCCCAATCAGATCTTTGGTCTGCTGGGAGCACTCAGTTGCGAGTCGGTCAGCTGTGGGTCGTGATGGTAAGATGACCTCATCCCCCCACTGTCTGGCCATGTTTCATGGCGGTCTAGTATCTGGTATTGCAATGTATTATGGTAAGTACACGGCACTCTCTATATATATATATAATATAATATAATATAATATAATATAATATAATATATATATATATAAATATACGTATCATACCGCCATCCATCATTCATCTTTGAAACCCCGAGAGCGTTTTTTTGGCCCTCCTGATGGCCTTTCCTGGGTTCCAGCGGCTTAAGCAACTGGCAGATCTGACCATCAATCAGATTCATCATGCGGTTACCAACAAGCATCAATAACCATCAATAGCCAATCCAAATCGCCCATAACCTCATATTTAACCTCTACAGGTTGATGGCATCTCCGCAGGTGGGTGTCATCCTGTACATCCTTATGACCGGAGAGATGCCTTGGAGTTCTATGGTCAGCTTAGAGGTGGGTGTTGGAAATGGTGAATGGTGACAACATTTTTCAACGACGTTCTTTGGATGATTTTTGGAAATTCAACATGGTTCAAAGATGTTCAATCAATAAGGACTATAAGATGCATTTTCATGGTTGACTTGGGGAAGCTCAACAAAAAGGAAGGGTGTTTTGATGAGGTAGTGTAAAGGGCACCCATTGCTGCGGCTGGTAATGTTTCTATGTTTGCACTCCATCACCAGTATCACAAGCATCACTCTCAACCTTTGGACGGGAAGCGCGTCTTCTATCATGTTGCAGATAGTCCCTCCAAGATAATGTAGCAAATTGGCATAGCTCAAGATGTGTGGCATTTTAGCCAACCGTGACCGCCAGGTGTTTCTGGGTTCCCCCTTTGTTTTGTTGGGTTCCTGCTTGTCAGAGAGTCTGCACGTCAGGACGGCCTTGTTGGTAGCCCTAGTGCCAAGCAGATGTACAGAGCTTTGAAGGCGCAGTGGTGTTTTGGGCCTGGACTTTCCAGACCCTATGCTACTCAGTATGTAATGTCAGGGATTTGAGGAGAAAGAAAAAACATGGCCCTCAGAACTCATCAGAACTCATCATCACCTCCCAAATGTTCCAAGCCTAAGTTCGAGCTGGGGATTGATCCTGGCTAGGCAGAAGTCTTGGAGTTTTTGCCTCAGGGCAGCTGCCGAATTTCTTGTTTTCCAGAAATCCATTTGAAGCTGTGAGCCCCGGGAAAACCACAGAGGCTTCGTGTTTGTTTCCACTTGAGATGAAGATGTCTAGAAATGTCTAGGAAGAGGCTCAACTTCCTGAAGGAGAAACTGTGCGCTAGCAGGACCCACCAGCACAGTGCTTGTACCAAGGTGGGAAGAGGCACCCTGGCCGGATTTCCCCCATGCCAGAGATTTGTGCCCGAGCACCCAGCATGATCTGAGGAATTGAAAGGAATGGCATTGGAGAATTGTATGCAAAAATGGCCAGAAGAAGTATAGCGGTATAGCTGGTATCCCCAAGCTTCATGGCTGCAGTCTTCGCTCAAGGCCAAAAACTCTTGGCTTTTTCACTGGAAGATCGCATGAAAGATTGCGAAGAAGCCTGAGCCCCAGAAAGCCTCAGATTTTGATCCAGCATCTTCAGCTAGCTGCCCTGGGATGGCAAGATGTGGTGAGGGGCTGTATACCACTGGAGCCAGCGAGTGCAAGAATCTGTGCGGCAATCTGTGTTGGCATCAGGTCCGAGAATAGAGAAAAGTGCTGCATACTTGGGGTCAGCCCATGTCTTTGCCAAATCTCATGATCTCAAACGAGGTGGTAGATTTCATGATTAATTTCTAAATCACGTCATTCTGGCTAGGTATTCTTGGTGAAAGATAGTAAAAGAACTCAGATAAGGCTTTCGCCAGTTTGTTGCTGGTTGGTGCTGGGATATAGGGCTGTAGTACCGTATATATAATATGGCCTGTTCGTATTTCCAAACATTAGGCCCCTGTCTGTGTTGGTTGGACTTCTGCATCCTTCTTCCCTTAAGCCTCGCCCGACATGCGAGGCTTTAAATCACCCCTGGCTGAAGGAATGATGGACCGCCCGGCCCTTGGCGCCATCTTGGACTTTTTGGGCACTCGCTTGTCACATTTTGTCACATATTTTATGATATTTTATGATTAAATTCTGGTTCCATCCTGCTTCAAATTCGTTTCAACTCTGTTCTTTTCTTATGTTGGCTTGAATATTGACATTGAAGCGGCAAGATTGATCTTGTGAGGGGCACCGCCCGCCTTGACATGCCAATTTCGTCTTAATTACAGCCATTTCGCATCATGCCATGCCCTGACAGGCCGTTGGTTCTTGTAGCATATCCATTGGACAGCCAATGGGTTGCTGCCACTGCTCACAAGAGCTGGCAAAAGAAACTCAACTCGTTTAAGGTGGAGAGCGAGGGTGAAAAACCAGTGGAACGGCTTTTGTTCTTTGCAATGTGACATTGATGTAGTATGGTTCATGCAGATGTGTTAATTATGTTATGGGATGTGACATGTGTCGCGATGTGTTTTGCAATGTTATGCATTTGCACATGTATAAACACAGAAAACTACATGCAATTAAACACATGTTAAAAAAAGAAAGAGAGAGAGAGAGAGATAATATATATATATAATTATATATATATGACATATGTCATATGTATATGCAAATTAACAAATCAATACATATGATGAATCGAGAGAGAGAGAGAGTGAGAGAGAGAGAGATATACAATATATCATTATCAATAATAATTATTTTAACTATTATTATTTTTTTTTTAATTTGTATATATATATATACATCATTATATATATACATATATATATCATATTATATATAAAATTATATATATATCTATATTATATCCGAGTGTGCTCGCGTGTGTGTGTGTGTGTGTCTGTGTGTGTGTGTGCTCCTCATAAAGAACATTAAAAGAATTACATGAAAATACATATCTCACATGGTGGTGAATGGGAATCCTCGCTCCAAATTCCTTTCAATAGAGAGCCTCCGACCCCTGGTTGCTGCGCCGCACGACTCTCGCCGATCGGCGACGAGCTTGGTGCGTTGCGCGCTGTTCGGATGGAGCAGAGGACCGGGAAGGTTGGAGTACTCAAGCAGCGGAGGCTTCGGACAGTTTTGCCCAATCATGGGGGAATTTGGGGGATAATATGCAGGCAATATGCGGGTAATGAATGAGTGATCCCATATCATCCCATCACGATCGAACATCTGAAGTTGTTTTGAGTTTGATTCGGAAATACGGGAAGACCCTGATTGCCGCTTTGGGCAACTGTCAGCCGCAACCAAAACTGGGTCGGTGTTGCTCGAAACAGCAACCTGAACAGTATCTTCATAGCCCAGTTGCCAAAAAGAAGAACACATCCAATGGTGCAAAGGCTATCAATCTACTATACACCAAAGTACAACAATAATCAACAATATACATTTACACTCTAAGATGTAAATCTTTAATTATATGTTGATCATGTTTAATCCATCCCACAGGGGATCCAGGGCTGACTGGGCTGCGACCTGTTTTTTTTTTGGTGGTTCCTCGTGATGAGGGGCCCTTGCAAACCTGTCACAGGGCTTGTGACCACGCGGGTGAACTCGCTAGTCCTGACGAAATGGGTTGCCCAAGACCGGTAGTTGATGTAAGAAAAGCAGAGCACTGGCTGAGATTGTTGGCTGTTGAGACCAAGCACTGAAAGATAGTGAAATACTATGACTATAAGAGATAACATATTCATTCATTTTTGCTAGATTCTAGAGATTGGTCATGTTTTGTTCGTCATGGTTTGCTTTCTTGCAATAGAGATTTGACTGATTGCAGTAGATTACAGTACAAAGATGGGATGCGAATTTCGGAGTAGTCCTACCGGGGGGGGGGGCAGGACGTGACAAAAATGGTACAGGCAGTTTGCAAAGCCTTTGGCATTATTTTGTGTACACCTTGATGCCATAAACCTACCATTTGAGGATGGTTTATACGACCGACAAGGATGATAGTTTTAGGGATGGTTATGAAATTGGGTTTACCACATTAATAGGATTTGAAGGGTGTCCGCTAATTGGATTGCATTTTTCAACGAATTTGCAACTGCTGCTGTCTAGTCAAGCGTAGAGCTTTCATCACAGCATTGTGCGGGATGGCAGCCGATGACGGAGAGAGGCTTGCCACACCAAAACACACACATGTCTTTGTGAGTCCCCCAGTTTCATCATGTCATTTTTGTTCCAACGATATTTCTGCACTGATCGAATTTGGAAAACGGCAGAGAGAGATGACAGAGACACTTCCGGGTTTCCGTTGGGTAGAATGGTCAAAATGGATCCACACTGTGTGCCTTTCTATGCTGAGGTTATCCTGGATTGCAATTCATGAAAATTCTTGAAATCTAGACACTTGGGGGATCCATCTTAGTATTATCTCCTCCATTTCTTCCCAACCCTATATATTATAATTATATATATATTTATATATATTTATTATGTTGGAGTTCACCTCCCTGTCTCGCCTGTCTATCTTGTCGATTGTTTGGCCCACGAAGGGTCACGGCGACGGCCACGGACGCCGTGGGTGAAGCGGAGACGGTCGTTGCCTTGGTGACGACGGAGAAACCGGAGGTGAAGCAGGCGAGGTGAAGCACCTGTTTTTTGCCCATCAACACTGACGTTTTGGCAGTGAAAAAGTATGAAACATGGGATGTTACCATATGTTGCCAACAAAAAAGGGGTATATTAGATGATATTAGACTTAAGATTCATTTTAAAAATATGAATTATAAGTTATAATTTAATTAATCATATATTTAATGGGTTGTTTTTTTTTGACACACATGCGAAACTTCATGTTTTCTTTTTTCCATCCCATAGTTTGGGTCCTACCATCAACAGAACACCAGACATTGCACAACAAAAGAACAGCATCGCAGCATGATATTTAAAGTTCACAATTCGGTGTGTCATTTGGGTATGGATCAATACCTATGAAAATACAATTTTTAGTGGGATGAACATCCATTTACCAGCTATTTTGATGTGAACTACAGGGGTACAAGGTCTTGACACACTGCCATGTGCCTGTGGCAATGCAACAACTTGATTCGAAGATTGCAGGCTGCTCCAGGTGGATCCATGTGTGAAGCCTCAGCAATGCCCATATGGCTTGGTTTTTTGGGTACCCTCTGGTAAACTAACATAGCTATTGAAAACGGCCATTTATAGTGAGTTTTCCCATTAAAAATGGTGATTTTCCATAGTTATGTTAGTTTACCAAAGGGTACGTCAAACCGTTGGGTTTGTCCAAACTGGGGTAATTCACCAAAGAACATTGGAAAGTTGGACAGAAAACGACCTGGTTTGATGCGATCTAAGATATCTAAGCTCTGGGGAGAAAATGACCCAAAACCGGGGCATGTTGTGTATTGTTGTGTTGTGATGCGTTGTCTGTCTTTTTCTCCTTGAATCTTATGAAACCAAATATATCAAATATGGTTTATTTGAAACAGATCTGATCATTTTCAACCCAACCCCCATGCAAAGTATGGACATTTTTCTGATTTGATCATGTTTAAAACTTCCAAAATCCAACTCTCAGGACCTTTCATTCAACCCCAGTAAATCTCACTAAATGCAATTAAGTCATTCATTAAATCCCATTAAATACTACTAAATCCCACTAAATCATTCATAATAAATCATTCAAAATAAATCATTCATGAAATCCCATGTTTAATGAATGACCTATTCGGCTATTCATTGAATCGCCGCAACAAAAAAGGTCCCAATCCTTGGACGTTCCGCTCCGCGGGCTGGAGGTGGTGGGGATACTCAGAGCTGTCCGCTTCATGGGGGTCATGGCTTTGGCAATTTAACCAGAAAACCTGGGATTTAATAAGGTTTAATGGGGTTTAATGGGATTTAACTAATGATTTAATGGGATTGGATGGGGTTTAATAGAATTTTTGATGGGAGTTAGCGAATGATTTAATGGGCGTTGCTGGTGTTTAATAGAATTGGATTTAACTCATGATTTAATGCCATTTAATGAGGTTTAATAGAATTTGATGGGATTTAACTAATGATGTAATGGGCTTTACTGGGGTTTAATAGAATTTGATGGGAGTTAACTAATGGTTTAGTGGGCTTTACTGGGGTTTAATAGAATTTGATGGGATTTAACTAATGATGTAGTGGGATTTGATGGGGTTTAATAGAATTTGATGGGAGTTAACTAATGGTTTAGTGGGCTTTGCTGGGGTTTAATAGAATTTGATGGGATTTAACTAATGATGTAATGGGCTTTACTGGGGTTTAATAGAATTTGATGGGAGTTAACTAATGGTTTAGTGGGCTTTACTGGGGTTTAATAGAATTTGATGGGATTTAACTAATGATGTAGTGGGATTTGATGGGGTTTAATAGAATTTGATGGGAGTTAACTAATGGTTTAGTGGGCTTTACTGGGGTTTAATAGAATTTGATGGGATTTAACTAATGATGTAATGGGATTTGATGGGGTTTAATAGAATTTGATGGGAGTTAACTAATGGTTTAGTGGGCTTTACTGGGGTTTAATAGAATTTTTGATGGGATTTAACTAATCATTTAATGGGCTTTACTGAGGTTTAATAGAATTTGATGGGAGTTAACTAATGGTTTAGTGGGCTTTACTGGGGTTTAATAGAATTTTTGATGGGATTTAGCTAATGATTTAATGGGCTTTACTGGGGTTTAATAGAATTTGATGGGATTTAACTAATGATTTAATGGGCTTTACTGGGGTTTAATAGAATTTGATGGGAGTTAACTAATGGTTTAGTGGGCTTTACTGGGGTTTAATAGAATTTGATGGGATTTAACTAATGATGTAGTGGGATTTGATGGGGTTTAATAGAATTTGATGGGAGTTAACTAATGGTTTAGTGGGCTTTACTGGGGTTTAATAGAATTTGATGGGATTTAACTAATGATGTAATGGGATTTGATGGGGTTTAATAGAATTTGATGGGAGTTAACTAATGGTTTAGTGGGCTCTACTGGGGTTTAATAGAATTTTTGATGGGAGTTAACTAATGATTTAATGGGCTTTACTGGGGTTTAATAGAATTTGATGGGATTTAACTAATGATTTAATGCCATTTAATGGGGTTTAATAGAATTTGATGGGATTTAACTAATGATGTAATGGGATTTGATGGCGTTTAATAGGATTTGATGGGAGTTAACTAATGGTTTAATGGGCTTTACTGGGGTTTAATAGAATTTGATGGGAGTTAACTAATGGTTTAGTGGGCTTTACTGGGGTTTAATAGAATTTGATGGGATTTAACTAATGATGTAGTGGGATTTGATGGGGTTTAATAGAATTTGATGGGAGTTAACTAATGGTTTAGTGGGCTTTGCTGGGGTTTAATAGAATTTTTGATGGGATTTAACTAATGATGTAATGGAATTTGATGGGGTTTAATAGAATTTGATGGGAGTTAGCTAATGGTTTAGTGGGCTTTACTGGGGTTTAATAGAATTTGATGGGATTTAACTAATGATGTAATGGGATTTGATGGTGTTTAATAGAATTTGATGGGAGTTAACTAATGGTTTAGTGGGCTTTACTAGGGGTTTAATAGAATTTTTGATGGGATTTAACTAATGATGTAATGGGATTTGATGGAGTTTAATAGAATTTGATGGGAGTTAACTAATGGTTTAGTGGGCTTTACTGGGGTTTAATAGAATTTGATTGGATTTAACTAATGATGTAGTGGGATTTGATGGGGTTTAATAGGATTTGATGGGAGTTAACTAATGGTTTAATGGGCTTTACTGGGGTTTAATAGAATTTGATGGGAGTTAACTAATGGTTTAATGGGCTTTACTGAGGTTTAATAGAATTTGATGGGAGTTAACTAATGGTTTAGTATGCTTTACTGGGGTTTAATAGAATTTTTGATGGGATTTAACTAATGGTTTAGTATGCTTTACTGGGGTTTAGTAGAATTTGATGGGATTTAACTAATGATGTAATGGGATTTGATGGGGGTTAATAGAATTTGATGGGATTTAACTAATGATTTAATGGGATTTGATGGGGGTTAGTAGAATTTGATGGGATTTAACTAATGATGTAATGGGCTTTAATGGAGTTTAATAGAATTTGATTTAATGATTTAATGTGATTTAATGGGGTTTAATAGAATTTTTGATGGGATTTAACTAATGATTTAATGGGCTTTACTGGGGTTTAATAGAACTTGATGGGATTTAACTAATGATTTAATTGGATTTCATGGGGTTTAGTAGAGTTTGATGGGATTTAACTAATGATGTAATGGGATTTGATGGGAATTTTGTGATTTAACTAATGATTTAATGTGATTTAATGGGGTTTAATAGAATTTTTGATGGGATTTAACTAATGATTTAATGGGCGTTACTGGGGTTGAATAGAACTTGATGGGATTTCACTAGTGATTTAATGGGCTTTACTGGGGTTTAATAGAATGTGATGGGATTTAACTAATGATTTAATGGGATTGAATGGGGTTTAGTAGAATTTGATGGGATTTAACTAATGATGTAATGGGATTTGATGGGGTTTAATAGAATTTGATGGGAGTTAACTAATGGTTTAGTGGGCTTTAATGGGGATTGAATGGGGTTTAATTAGATACTGTATTACTCGGACATAGATGGGATTCTGGTGATGATTACCCTCTGGCCCTTCGGTAATTTAACACTTTGCTATGTACAAACCTGACCTGTGAATCCGGAGTTCCAATATGAATTAAACACACTGCGCATGAGATTCTGGCAGGAGTAGTCTTGAGAAACGGAGTTCACATGGGGATTTGCTCAGGTGGTTTGGGCAGGTCTGAAGCATCAGTAAAAGAGAAGTGGCTGTCCGCTGAGAAATACAATCGTGCTTTGCGATATGTGAAGAAGTGAAAAGGATCCTGTAGCAGATTCTGGGAAGTGTGGTGCAGATTTAGATATCCAGCAGTAGCGATTCCATGCAGGAAAGCCTATGAAGACATAGAGCTAGCAGAATTATTCCATTAGCGTTCCATGCAGGAAAAGCCTATGAAGACATAGAATTAGCAGAAATATTCCATTAGCGTTCCAGTAGGAACTAACATCTCCAGTAACATTTTGATGTAGATATTTGGCCCCAGCGTTGAAGCGTTACCAATAGGATTTCTGATCCAGGTCCCGCCTTTTCTGACTTCGACGTAACCGGTGCGTTCCATGCAGTTGTACCAACCCCGCGGTGTTTAGTCCTGACTTCCACGGGTGCCTGTATGCTATGTAATGAATAAATAGCTATGTTCAATTACCAGAGGGTAAACCAACCATACTGGTGATATATATATATATATATCTATATATATATATATCATGAGCCATGGGACATGATTTTTACGAATATTCATTTGATTTGATATGATTGGGTTGCCAACACTAGTTGGGTTTGTCCGAAAATTCGGAATTTACCCCCAAAGATTCCAAAAAGGCATTATTGTGTGGGATTTTGTTTTTTTTCACCTCACTATTTTGGGGTACCCTATTTCCCGACACACCCATTTAGGTTGAGAGGTTGATTGTGTTGATGATGGAGTGTGGTTTTGATAACCATCGGATTGTTGCAGTACTTGATTGAACTGCAGCATTGCTCCAGAGTGTCATGGAGCATTCAATTTGTTTCTGACTAAGAGATGACGATGAGGATGTTGAAGAATATGTATGGCCTCCATTTATGCTATGGTACTTGATTTCTCCAGTGAGTTCCAAGGATTTTTCCAGGTAGCCCTGATGATGACTCCGTTGGTATGTGATGCACAGCTCAGGTGGAAGACCTCAAGGCGGGTGCAAACCTGGACAACCAGAACCAGTGTGTTCTTTGAGGTGATTGCAATATTGGGGAACCCCAAAGCACCATGGGTTTCTGCTTCCTAATATCAGTATAAGTTGCGAAAGGTGTACAATTCAAGAACACAATTCAACAACACAATGTGAATCCTAAACCCCTAAGCGAACAAAACTGCTAGTCCCCATTCCCCATGGTCAAAAACCGGACGGTTGTCATGTTCGCAACTTTTGTTCGTTTCTGTGGGGTGCACGGATCACCACCAAATGGTTTGTCGGATTGACTAGGCTCCCAGCTTAAATTTTGATGGTTGACTGAGTTGACTATCCCATGAAAATATCCCCAATTATGGGATATGAATGGATATTATGGTATATTCGAATTATATACCAGAAAACCTATAGGATTTACTACTATATATCAACGATTATCAACGTCTATTCTCAAACTTCTTATTTTGACATATTTTGACAGTTGGTTAATTATTAATATCCTATACTATATCCCCATATGTCCAAAAATAAATCACCATTAAATCACGGTGAATCCCCATGGCCAGTGGCGACCGAAGAGGTGCACCACCGGGAGTTCTTTGGAGGAGTTGGAAGCTACACGGTGTTGAAGCATCAGCACCTGTCGTGTGGGTACCCATATTTCTGGCTAGTTTGGATAGGGGAATATAGGGGAACGCGATGATTAACATTGATTAACCATGAAATTCTGGGCGATACCCGGTATACCCTATTTTGAGACACAAACAATTTCTAGGATTTGTTGTGCATGATTATTTTCTTTCAGCTATCCAAGGCTTATGAAGGAGCGGTTAGGAAGTATGGCTATTCTCTCAGCAAAATATGTGGAGTCAAGGAGCTGAAACTCTGTTGATTCTTCCATAGATGACTGCTTTAAGGGAATTCTCTGCAAGTGACTCCAAGGTAATGTTGAGCCAACATTCTTCACGAAAACTCTACCGGGTTGGGTAAAAAAGGGTCGAGCGTGAGCTCGCCAAAGGCAGTCCATGATGAGCGGTGCGAGGGCCCAGATGTCCAAAACTGCTACGCCAAATCCCCTTGAATATCTTGAATGGTCCAAAATGGTTTCGAAATTGCAATAGTTATTTTATGTATTTTTATGTTATTTTCACATTGTTTCAAGATAGTTTCAAGTGTGCGTACAATACATCTACTGTATCTTACCTGCTGTGCCAGGAGGTTAGGGTCAGCTGCGGCTAGCACTCATTGCAACAGCTTCGTGGGGTCTGCTGCCGGGTCACTGTTCCTACGGTACTCAGCGCTCAGAGCCATTCTTATGACATTTGCCTCCACTCCCCTGACCTTGAATCTTATCTTGTCATTCTTGTCTTGTCTTGTTTAACATCTGATCTTATATTATCATATATTATCATATATTATCTATCTAATCATATCTAATGAAAATTAATCTATGTACTCTATCTAATCAATTTGTCTATCTAGTCTATCGGTCTATCGAATCTATTTAATATGTCTAGTCTATATATAATGATTATGCATAAGTATCAGTGTGATATATCTATTCTATCTATTCTATTCATTCTATTCTATTTCTATTTATATTTATATATATATATTATTCTACTTCTTGTGCTATTTCTTATGTTATTTCTAATGTGTTATAATGGTTGTTTCAATTCATTGCTATTTCTTATTCCATGTCTTATTCTATTTATTATTCTATTTCTTAGTCTATCCTATCTATCTATACTTTTATATTGAGTATCAATATACTTTACGTATCAATTTACTTTACGTATTCGGATCGCAAATGAACATCTCCTGAACTCAGCTAGCTGGGATTCCCTCATTTCATTCAGGTTCTGGAGCTTTGGGTAGGTCATGCATCCAGCAATTTCTTTGTTTCTTCTTTGTTTCATCTTGTTCAAAGGGCGCGAGTTGAATAAATATGATGCACTGAGACTTGCGTACGTGAACATCTGACGGGGAAATCAGGAGACTTGTGCTTGGAAGCAAGCGGATGGTTGGGGCATCCTTCATTAAGTGGGCACAGCCAAAACTAGGGCATGTCGCATGCCCCCATTCCCCTTGTTTTCAAACATGTTTAACATTCCCTAACAAATAGCAAAAGGACATACATGGTGTGTAAGCCCCTTGAATCATCCATTTGTTTCCCCTTTTGATCATTTACCGGCTGGAAAATCACCGTGATCACATATGATCTCCACGTTTGATTTTTCAATCACATGTTATTCTGAGATCATATTGTTATGGTTACCGAATGATCATCCCCAACTACTTGGGGTCTGGAATGGGTAGACCTCCAGGGTTCGGCCCGATTGATCACCATGAATCGAACTAAATGGGCCATGGCTTCTCCACAGCCCAGCCCAGGTTCCTTTACCTCCACTGCTTCCACGGGTGGCACCACTGAGTCGGGCACTGAGTCGGGGACTGGTCCTCGGCCTTGTGGTTATTGCGATGTTTTTCTATCATTGTTCTGTTACCAATGTTTGTTCCAATGTTTGTTGCTGTTGTTGTTGTCGTTGTTGTTGTTCTTCTTCTTTTTCTTCTTCTTCTTCTTCTTCTTGTTCTTCGTCTTCTTGTTGTTGTTGTCGCTCTTGTTCTGGTTGTTGTTCTTGTTCTTGTTATTGGCCTTCTTGTAGTTCTTCTGATTCTTGTTGTTGTTGTTGCTGTTGTTGTTGTTGTTGTTATTGTTGTTGTTGTTGTTGCTATTGTTGTTATTATTACTGGTGTTGTTCTTGTTGTTGTTCTTGTTATTGTTATTGTTCTTGTTGTTGATATTGATATTGTTATATATTGTTCTTGTTGTTCTTGTTCTTGCTCCTGTTCTTGTTGTTCTTGTCGGTCTTGTCGTTCTTATATTGTTATTGTTGTTATTGTTGATATTGTTGTGCTTGTTCTTGTTAGATTTTCTTGTGTTCTTGTTCTTTCTTGTTTTTTCTTGTTTTTCTTGTTCTTTGTCATGTTCTTGCTCCTGTTGTTGGTGTTGTTGTTGGTGGTGGCGGTGGTGTTGGCGGTGCTGGTGTTATTGTTTCGGTGGTTGTGGTTTTGGTTGTGGTTGTGGTTGCTGTTGTTGTTGTTGTTGTTGTTGTTGTTGTTGTGGTTGTGGTTGACGTTGTTGTTGTGGTGGTTGTGGTTGTGGTTGTGGTTGTGGTTGTTGTTGTTGTTGTTGTTGTGGTGGTGATGGTGGTGGTGGTGGTTGTGGTTGTGGTTCTTGTTCTTGTTCTTGTTCTTGTTTTTGTTCTTGTTGTCGTCATGAGTATTTTTACTATTAATCTTGTTATTGATGACTTTTCATGTTTTTTGGAGGGATGGGGTTCGAAGCACCCTGCATAGGTACTGGTAAGGTTCAGTAGCCTATGTATTTGATGTGTTTCCACTAAATGGAGATGCACGCCATCCAAACCAGCTGTTCCAGCGGCTGCTCTGGTTATTTCTGTTGATGGGTATTTGAGATTTGCCATGAACCTGAGCTGGTGGTAATCGAAGATAGCGATGGAAAATCGATGAAAATCCCAAGTTTGAATACTTAAGTCATCCATAAGTGCACTGAATTCGAGGATTTTCTATTGCCAGGTTAGATTGCCGGAGGGTGATTCTGGTACCGATAAGGTTGACAGATTATCTCGGGGTACCCCTACGTGGGTATGACCAAACAATGGGACCCCGAAAAAAGTAGCCAGCTAATGGTTCATTGCTGTGTTTAGATATTGATCCAAGATGATCCAAGGATATTCATTGGCTGTGTCACGATGTTGGCTGGTGCAAACTTACTTGTTCACACCCTCTTTATCAATGCGGCTTAAATTACATCTAAATCCCATGGTTGACCAATTAAGAAGGGTACATAGTTACATAAACTCCAATTTTGCCTGGATAAATCACCGCGTTTTGGGATATTCAGGCAGGATTGATGTTCCAGCCTGCCAGGTACAGGGGCTGCTTCAATGGAAATCCACAGGAGGAAGGGCCCATCCCCAACGGTCTGGGAGTGCCCCTGGCGGATCGTCTTCACCCGTAATGTGAAACCATTTTGGTGGGGCTGTTTTGGTCCATTTTTGGGAACGTTGCAGAACCATTCTGAAGGAATTCTGATAATTCTGGTGAGGAAGGTTGCGAAACCACACTTCAACTACATCTTCGACTACTACATTGGGCAAGCTTCACACATCTTCACACACTTTCATGGATCCAACATGATCCAACTAGCATAGTGGTCTGGGGGAGTTCGCAGAACCTGGAGAGATGAGGTACGCGTCAATCCTGATGGATCCTCCTATTCTGGCGAATGGAAGGCAGGTGACACGGTGGTATTACCAGCAGAAACCCAGCTCCAGTGATTTTGTTTGCAGAAACCCACGAAACCCTGTGATCATGCAGAAGTCTTGCAGAGCCAAAGAGAAAAGATTAGAAAAACATAAGCCGCACCCAACTAAAACTGAGTTTGAGAATGACATATTGTACTGAAGGCAACATAAACTCAGACAATCCACGTGGAATCCACTGGAATTCACTGCAGGATGGCTTTCCGCACGGACAAGGAGAGTGGAAGGCTTGTGAAAATGTTCCGCCCTGCCGGATCCATCGATCCATCGATCCCCTCGATATTGTGCGTCCCCATTTCTTGCAAAACTGGGGATGGTACGGGATGGTTGTTCCAGTACTCCCGGATGGCACTTGGAGGCAGCGGAAGCCAGTTGCGAGAGCTACGTGGGGGAATGGAAGGTGCTATCTTGGTGTGTGAAAGCTGCATTGTGAAATTGTGGTTGTATACATCGAGACATTTTTGGGGAGCACAAAATCCACCAAAGTGGTCACATTCTGACAAGATACGAGCCCCCGATTCTTCAACCCTGGTTGATCTGTGGGTAACATACTACCATTCTATCCCGGAATTATATGGAATTATCAATTGAATTATCATTTTGAAGTCCTCTCCTAGCATTTTGGATTTTATATCAAATATCATCAACCAGGGGTTTCTCATCCCTGGATTCACACCTCCTCTGCCATGAAATGTACCCTGCCAGCGCGGCAAAAAGCACGGCTTCGGCACCATGAAATTCAACAACGGACGGGGCTTTCGGGCTTTCCCAGGGAAATCAGGGGAGCTGTCGGACTGTCGGAACAGTGTTTTCCGGTCGGGGGCAGCCATGATTCTTCAGGCCATGGCCATGGAGCTGACACCCCTGGGACGTGTATGGACGTGGACCATCGTGGACCTGTGATGTGCACCGAATTTTCGCCCAGGAGATTGCTATGAAGGTGACTGGACAGATGGAAAGTTTCAGGACTTGGCGGGATGCGACTGGTGATGACTGGTGCATGGTTCAGATATCTTCAGAAAATGAAGGTTACGGTGAAGTAGTACCAAGAATGACAAACTCTGTGGGATTCTGTGCAATGGATAGTACCCCATGTTTGAACATGTTTGAACATGTTTGAACCATAGCCAATCCAGGACTCCCGAGACATAGCAACGAAGTGTATGATCTTCAATTGTGGCCGCGGATCGTGTGCATATGGCTCCAAATGATTGGCTCGCAGACATGGATGGTTGGGCACATTTGGGCACTACAAAGTGCCAAATGTGCTGGTCCTTTGCCATGTTCGAGCCATACCACCAGATGCCAGGTGGCCTACATGACAAGAACAGCTTGAATGAACCCACCTTGGAAAGACACTGGGGAATGTCGGAGTGTCTTCAAATCGCTTTGACACAAACATATGGATATTTCATGTGGATATTTCATATGGATATATCCGATATTTCATGAATTGTCACGACACAGTCGATGTCTATTGCTTTACTCGAGTGATCATCTTTACATCGGAGGCTTTGGAGTTCTGATCAACCCTCAGAAGGAACTCGGATGCGGCGAGCCATGGCAGCTTGCCGACCCATGAGATCATGGGTTTTCTGAGGAATCTGTGCCCTGGCTTCCTAGGGCCTAGGGAGGATGAGATGATGAGATGGGGCTGGGTGACTCTTACTGGCGGTGCCACCAGTATTAATGAACTGGTCTTAATCAAATCCAGGGCTAGCATTAGCAATCAGCATGTCAGGTCCTAGCCAAATTTTTGATCCTCAACTACCATTCTGACTTCTTGCTGGCCGTTGTAGGACCCTTGGTGACACGATGGTTTCGTAGTTCCAAATCAGAGGGCAAGAGATTAGCAATGTCAGGCGAATGGAGGCTATTGAAAGGCAAAGTGTGAGATTGTTGATGAAGGTTTTCTCATCGCCTGAAAGATCCTGGAACCAAAATTTGCCTTGTTTTGCTAGTAAATGCATCGCAGGGCAAACAGTTCTTGGGTGTTTGTTTGAAAGAAGAGCAAGACATAGCAAGACATTGGTAGTTGATTTGTCTCAGCCCCTGGTGAAAATCGACCCCGAAACGTGGACGGGGTCAGAGGTTCCCCATGCTTCGGCCCCAAAGTTTTTGAGACTGACTAGTACTGAATATAGTACTGGGATATAGTAATTCCGGTAGGAAATGGCTTATAATTCACAACTTGATTCACAACTTAGTAAATGCATGCAAATGCTCAAGAGTGGGGTTATCCTGGAAGAAACCTCGTTGGTCACCCCCCAGGTCTCATTTCGTCCTCCCAACCTCGTGGGAGAAGTCCGCGGACGGTCCCGCACCGGACGGCTCTGGCGCAGTCGCTGACGGCGACGCGGGCGTCGCGCCCCTGACGTTGCCCAAAGTGGCCGCTTTGTATCGCCAAAAGATCGGGCAAGTGCATGATGATTTGGAGCAACCTGGCATGTACCTGGCAGATTTTGGCAAACTTAGTTCCAGATTGCCAGAAAGCCGGGCTAAGCCAGGAGTCTTAAGAGTATGTTGATGTGAGGATTGATCATGTAATTGGATGTAATTGGTTTGGGGGACCCGATGACTCTGTGACAATCTCGAAGTTTGGAGCCTGACATCATCCAACACACCAGTCCCATTGTAGTGCCTTGTCTCCTAAGTGTTCAGCAGTCAGTGGGAGCCATTGTAAGTTGGATGCGCCCCTAGGCAGCTGAGAGCATATGCCAACAGCGGTGCGGCCAGCTTCCCTGGGTTCCTTGGGCGCCGCCGGGGCCTGGCCGCATCCTTTTTCTACAGCGAAGGTGAGAAGAAAGAGGTGGAAATGAATAACTTTTTGAAGAAGGACCTGAGTATGCAGATCTGCTTAAATAGTACATGCAGGTACCCCAAGAATTCCCAAATTCGTCCAAATACGCTACTTTAAAGATAGTTTTTTTTTTTAGAAGAAAGAACAATGGTTGGTGATGGCCCCTGCTTCAGTTTTGGACACTTACTGTCGCATACCCATTCTGAGACTGGAATGAGCACCCATTCGTACTACCCATTGAGGACCCGCTGTACCCATCTGCACCCCCTGGCAATTGAGCCTGGAAATGGAAAATACCTCCCATTGCCTCGTTCAAACTATGTCAGTCAGAAGCTGATTTTCCCATTATTGATTGAATCACTGGTTGGTGGTTTCAAACATTTTTTATTTTCCATAATATATGGGATGTCATCCTTCCCATTGACTATATAATATTTTTCAAGATGGTTAAAACATGTTAAAACCACCAAGCAGATCATATTAAGCCCAATTTTTGCTCATTTCTTCAAGTCAACCATTTTGCTGTTTTTTTTCCCAGATCATGGGAGGACAAAGATCCCAAGACTTGTCCCATTGAATGGTGGTTGCATCATTTTGCATCAAGATTTTGTTACTTAAAGATACTGAAAAACTTAAACCATGGTAAACTCCACTTGAATTCAATTCTTGTTCTCGTCTTTTTCTATATTTTTGTTGGGTTGGTTAAATTGGTTAAGGTAAGTCACCATTATGCTGGTACATCCATCACATTTCATCACCATTGGTATTTGTTTGTGGCTTTAACCCCTTAAAAAACATCGAGAAACCAGGACGCCGCCGAATCTGAGACTGACGCCGCGGACCTCTTTGAGGAGTCAGTGGAGCGCGAACGTCATGCCGCGCTGGCGGTGTCCAAAGGTCCCTTGGGAGAACGGCCGACGAAAGAAATGGGTGGTTTGATTTATTGTATGGAATCCCCAAACAACCACTTTTCAGAAAGGGAATATCAAAGATTTATTTTGACAACTATTATTTGTGATTAATCTTAATGTGGTTATAAACCAACAACTACATCTGAGAATAGAAGACTGCAAAGCCATTAAATACAGATGATAATTATAGATACATGTGTGAATGTGCTACACTCAATGCCATAAACAATCCCCAATATTATCATGTTTATGGGTTAGAATAGTCATCCCCAAATGGTAGGTTTATTATTACGCTTGCCAAATTATATCATATTGTTTCCATGAACAAGAAACACATTTCAATGGATTTAAGGATAGTACCCCAATTTGTGGCCGCATTTTGAGAGGTGAATCGACTTGGAATACCCCTTGAACACGGCCAGACAAATACTCCTGGAATATAGCGTTCTTGTCAGAAATGGTTTCAGTTTGTTTCAGTGTGTAAGTACATGGAGGTGTTCATAAATTGGGATACCCCAAAATGGATGGTTTATGATGGAACATCCTGTCAAAATAGATGATTTAGGGGTATATATCCTATTTCAGGAAACCTCCATATATATATAATCATATATTGTATATATATATATATCTATATACAAATCTATAATATATATATATATTATATATATACATATATAGATATATACATATATATATATATATACATATATATATATATACACCCCCTCACAAATACCCCGCCCCGATGTGTTCAATCAATACGCCCCAGATGTGGTATTATATATATGATATATAAACATATATAGAGAGAGAGGGTGTAGAACAAATTGTTGGGATGAAAAAATCGGAGGGACATGGAGGGACCGAAACGGAAAGAAAATTCTTCAGAGCCTTGAGGTCAAAACCTAGAAGCGAAGAAAGACTATGCGCAGATCGTGCCAGCCTCAATGACCTCGCAAGCTGCGTGAAACTTGATGGCTGGGAGTGTCATAGGGATGAATTTTCATGTGTTGTTCATGAATTTTCCACTAGGCTCCTATCCATCCGAACAGTGTTTGGAGTTGTTTTTTTCCGGTCCAAAATGGTGCAAGACACCTTCCAAAGGCTGATATTTGGAGCGCTGACTTGGGGTAAAGTTTCCAAAGCCATCACTTCCAGGCCCAAAACGAGGAAGAAATGGAAAAGCTGATGACAAGAGCAGCCGAGGAGAAACACCCATATCATGCACTGGGATCCCACAAAAACAGCTGATTTTGGCATGACAGGTACGTGCCTGGAGTTTCGGGCTTCGCATGATTTGTCCAAGGTGTTCCTATAATTTGGATTCATTTTGGTGGAGACCAGAAATCACGGAAATAGCGTGAAATAGCTATGTTGACTTATGTTGGGTTTGATGCGCTTCTCAGGACGCAGAAGAGGATGCTTTGCTGGTGAAGCAACACGATGACAAAGGAAGGGATATTGATGCCTTGCCATATACTGATGACGATCCAGTGGAACACACTGAATGAATAGCGGTGTCAAAGAAACACTGCTTCAGAGGTTCCTCTGGACCAAGATCAGTTTCTGGACCGTGGAAAATGAGTGTGTCTCAAGTGATCCAACACCACGCCAAAAAAGTGGATGATGGGTTTGCAAGATGAATTAAGTTTTATATTATTACATATATGTAATATAAGTGATTAGAGACTATTGTATAATATATATATATACACGTATTCATACCTTTGTGATCCTTATGCATTGGCCATTGCGTGCTTCCATTCCAAATGTCATAGATGTCTTGGCATTGTTTGTCAGCCAGACTCCTGGATGTTTGCCGCTTGCGTCTTTCCATTTTCGGACGATCTAGGACCGAGAGAATCTCTTCTAATTCCTCCAAGTATCAATCAAGATGGTGTTTTATCCCATAATTTGAGTACTTGTTTACACTTTTTTACAAATTTTGAGCAGGTATTTGGAGGGTCTAGGTCCAGGTCGATTTTGTTTCCGAATTGTTTGGTCAGGCCATCCATATTTAGCCAGGACCGAGGGAAATACACCTATGCCAATGGCGATGAGTTTATGGGTCTCTGGGAAAAGGGCAACAAATTGAGCGGCACCTTCTACTACCGGGTTTGGGCTCCCCAGAGCTTCGAAGTTGGGATGGGGGTGATCGTATCTGGTTGGCGTTTTTTTTGTTTTTGAAATCTTGTTCAGCCATATTTGGTCCCTAGTATTTTTGGCTGAGTTGAAACCACCAATTATAAAAACAAAAACAATTTGGGAGGACGATTGGACAACCATGACATTTGCAGGGTCGTCTCAACAACATGTAGATGCCATGCAGTTTTTTTCCAGTGTTCGATTTTTTGAGGAGCACTTTATTTCAACAAGAATGCAAGGATGATCAGAAAGTCACCCCCAAATGTTGGGAGATTCAGCCGGCCCAAAAAATAGAAGACCTTCGCGTACACAACATGGATCGCTGGACAATTCCATACAATTCCCCGTTTAGTTTGATGATTTTCCCATTTCAACCTCCGTTTTGTTCGGGATTCTCAACCAGTTATTCTTGATTGCCAAATTATTCTGCAATCATTTACCATCATTTACCTCATTGCTGACCAATGATAATTGTTTTAAAAGCCACTTATAACTTATAAATGGTTAAATATGTGATATACAGTATAATGCATATGTATCCCGATGAAATATCATGAAATATCCCGAGTGCAACCACCGTGGTTCTCGCCAGGATGGAAGGCTGAGCACCCGGAAGTGGCAGGATGGCAAGCTGGTCTCCTGCCAGGACCTTTTTTTTGGGGGGGATGATTATTCATAGTTAGCCAGTGGATCATTCCCGAAAATTCCCTACGTTCAATGGATTGGTTTAAGGGAAAATTTATAGGAAAACCTCATATTTAATGGGAAAATCGATGGTTTCCGGTTAAGATTTTCCCTTAAACCAATCCATTGATGCGTCTAGCACTTATAAGTAAGTAGTCAGTAAGTCGTCAAGGATCCGAAAAGTTTGGAATGTTGGGAAACCTCACTCTCCCAGTTGCTCAATGGCCATACGTCAGGGGCCCATTCCCCAATCAAGATATCCATAACCAAGCAAAAGCAACACGATTTGCTTAGACTTTAGTTCGGCAAACCCAAATCATACCAGAGCTTCTGAGTCTTGAGGGCTGTCACACACGAAAAAGCAGTGTGGCTGTTCCAGTGATTGAGTCAACTCTCTTATGTTCGCAGAGTCCCAATTGACAGTGTCCGAATTGACAGTGCAACCAGAACATCGAACGGCAATGAACAGCATTTTGGTTGCCACTGTCTCTTCTCAAACTGAAAGATCATATTCAATCTGCAATTTCTCATGATTTTATGGTTTGGAAGTTTGGAAGATGATTTTCCATGATGAAAACAGTGATTTTCCTTCAATGCAGTGATGTTTGTTGCAACAAAATGCAAAAAACACATCCCCCAGACGTTCCCAGAACAGCTGGGATGTCGCCACCCCCGCGGCGAGGAGTTTGACTCCCGGAAAAGAGCTTACCAGCCGACCCTGACGCATACGCAGGTGGCTCGTACGGTGTCATTTTGAAGATGTCTCAAGATACATTAAGATATATATATTTATAGATATTACTGTATAGGTATTTATAGATATTTATAGATATTTATAGATATTTATAGATATTTATAGATATTTATAGATATTTACAGCATCCACCTTGGATGAACATGGATGAACATTAGTTGTACCGATTGTACCGTTTTAAACCCAACTAAGCTAGAAAAATGGGAATATTGCATACAGACCAGATTGGTTCTTTTGCTTGCTATCAGAATTTGGCCATAGACAAAGTCAGGAGGATCCAAAACTTGATGGCCCACCTCGACTCAAACTGCCATCAAACTGCCCAGAAAGCATGGTAGCCAACCGCAGCTGTCCATGAGAGTGATCCCCCAAGTTGATTTATTCCATAATTATTGGGATATATTATCATACATATATATATGTATTGGGTGTACTGTACTGGTAGATTCTATCTTGTATCCAATGTATAGAAATACATGATCCTAGTATATCCTAGGCAAAACAACATCGTGTCAATGGGAAGTCTCCAGTTTTCAACCCTCTCGATGAGTACCAGGTGCACGACCCACAACGGGTGCAATACGGCGCCAACGCGGGGCGGCTCAGAAAAATGCATGGTGGGGGGGGGGGCGGGGCGGACGAAAAATGTCACGACGAGTTGGTTTCTCCGAATTTCTCATAAAGTTGTGATATGATGTGATAAGTTTCTGCCTCCAATTTTCGCCGAGTTTCCAATCTGACCACATTTTTTGTGTCCGAACATGTCCGAACATGACCCCAGCCATCCCCCTTCAGAGCCCTTCCTGCAGGACTCCATGAGCAACATGATCACCTGCAACGGGGTCAGGGTCAGTTGACCCCCGGTGACTTCGCCATGGTTTCTCTCTCTGAAGCTCGACAGGATCTAAGGATTGGAGCTTTGATGAGTCCATGGTGTTTGTTTGCCGTGTTTTAGGATCATGCTTATGACTTTATGATGATTTATGTTGTTAAGGGTGAACGCAGTAGGGGGGACAAATGTTGGTGGATTGTTTAGTTTAGATGTCACGATATACTATGATATAGTAGGATATAATATGATATGAGTAGATATGATTGGTGCTGATGCGCTTGCCGCCATGTGCATATACCATCAATTACGATGATCTCAATGATGCTCTTCGCGTGACTCGAGTAGCACTGGATAATGAACATAGCATGAGCTCAGATGGCCCAGAATTTGCGGGTAGCACTTGAATCTTCAATTCAAGGCCCCAAGAGAAGCACCTTTCAAATGGGCTTCAAAAAAAAGCCCAGAGCTCTCAAAAAACAGTAAATAGTAAGTTCTCTTCCTGATCCCAGACTTGGTTCAAGGGACCAATTGTAATATTACAGGAAACCCTGTAGATTTTCCCATAACCCCCGATGGTAGTATTTTATGATGCCCCAAATATCAGCAATAAGGGAACGGATCAAAGCCATTCAAAACCTGTATAATAATACTATAAACTGCATAGAACTACCATGTCTTTGGGATGAACATCCAGAACTATCAGCTGAAAATGACATGAAAAACATGGCTTTACCCGGGTATCACTCCATCTATTGGCCCATCTGGAAACCGCACCGAAGACCGGTGCCCACTGCGATCATGAAGAGTTCCCGCAGCAAAACACCGGCCGGCTACCGGGGATGGGGGCGAAGCCACTACAAGGGCATGTATCCCAGGTCCGAGAAATTGGTGAATGATCATATATGATCATATGAATTCTCAATCTTGTAGAATTATGTTTACATATGTACAATATTTGTACAATAATCTACAATAAATTATATGGGGGGTTCTTAAAACAAGACAATAAGGAATGACTTGGAACCCGCCAAGCCCTTGGGCTTGCAACATGTTTATCACTTGCAAAAAATGCTTGTTCTTGGGAAAAGGACTGAACTAATCTTCCGGGGGAGAGGTATATATATATACTATATATATACTATATATATATATATGATTATGTATATATATATGATTGATCATGATTATATATATATATGTAACATAGTACAACAGTTGTGGTTATCTCATAGGGTGCGCTACCCATCGTCCGCAAGCAGATACAAAAAACCGTAGGGACGCTCCATCCTGGGACCTTGCTCCAACTTGTTTCATCCCCAATTTGATAGGGGATTTGTATGGTATATCTTGGAGATATGGAAACAAGATGAAACAAGCTATCAGTATCTTGGTACCCTTCCATATCCAGGATTTGTATTCCAAGTATACTCATATTTATAATATGGTACATTCCAATTATTCCATTCCGTATAGCCATTGAGATATATCAGTTACCATCTGGTTATTTAACAGTTTGCCATGGAAAATCACAATTTTTTATAGGTAAACCCAGTTGTTCACCATCTATTTCGATTAGGGCCATCAACAAACCATGGCTATGTTAGTCATAACCAGAGGGTATATCCCATTAAATCCCATTAAATCCCATTAAATCCCATTAAACCACCATTTTCCTATGGATGGTGAGAGATGGTGAGACACCCACGGACGCCCAGTTGTGCTCTCTGCAGCCACAGTTTTTTGCGTCGCACAAAAACAGCCGTCGCTCGGTCCGCCATGGCGAACGAGAACGCCGTGCAGGTGGTCGAGGAAAAACAGGACCTTGGATGGTTGGGATGGTTTGGGTTGAGTAGGTCACCATTGGATCTACATATACAGTATGGGATATATGTATATATATATTATATGTGTATATATATTATATTATATTATATGATATTATATTATATTATTTTATATTATATTATAGTGTATTCTATTCTAGTCTATTCTATTATATTATATTATATTGTATTCTATTCTATTCTATTCTATTATATTATATTGTATTCTATTCTATTCTATTATATTATATTATATTGTATTGATATTATATTATATTATATTATATAATATTATATTATATTATATTACATTATATTATATTATATTGCATTATATTCTATTCTATTCTATTATGTTATATTATATCATATCATATCATATTATATTATATTATATTGTATTCTATTCTAGTCTATTCTATTATATTATATTATATTATATTGTATTCTATTCTATTATATTATATTATATTGTATTCTATTCTATTCTATTATATTACATTATATTATATTGTATTATATATTGATATTGATATTATATTATATAATATCATATTATATTATATTACATTATATTATATTATATTATATTGCATTATATTCTATTATATTCTATTCTATTCTATTATATTATATTATATCATATTATATTAGATTATGTTATATAATGTATATGCTATATAATGTATATGTTTGTGGCATTTATGATTTTACATGGTTGTCCTAACTTTTTATGGGGGGAACATTAAAAAAAAAACACGAGGATATACTGAGTTGGTGCCTTGCAGGTCATTTCCCAAGGTCTTGTGAGTCTTGTGGGTACCGTGCACCCGTGCACTCGGAGGATGGGTCCCAATTTGGTGATATCCTCTGGTAAACTAACAAAAAACTATTGAAAATCACCATGTTTAATGGGAAAATCATGGAAAATCCACTATTTCTATGGCCATTTTCCATAGCTATGTGGCTGTTTACCAGAGGATATATACTGCAACTGTGCGATGATGAATGCTTCTATGGATATTATTCAGCAAGCATTATTCAGTAGCCTCACGTTGCGAGGGTGCAGCGGCAGGAGTGGGGCGGTGACAAGCCAGACTCTGATGATGACAAGAATGCTGATGAGCATGCGCCACTTGATCTCCCGGTCGAAATCGAAAGTCTCCGTCGTCTTAAAGTGGGTTTCACTTAAGGTACATGCAATGAACATGAAATACCATGACATGTAGAAGTATATATAGAAAATCATATAGATATGATTTTTCAGCGTTTTCTGATATGTCGAATTTGATGCCCGCACATCGCCCAATGATCCCCTCCACCTCTTGGTGCATCCACCTGATTTTTTGCAGATGGTTCCGCTGAATTTTTAATCGATGTGTCCGACTGTTTTGTATAAAACCATCGAGTTTGGGATTCCTACCTATTTGACAATGATTATATATATATATGTGATATATATATGATATATGTATGTGTGTGTATCTACCATACAAATAGTTCATAGATGTTCATAGAATTGTAGAAGGTTCTGGGGCGTGCGTCCCAGGAATGGCAAGTGGTTAATCAACCATATGAGACTAGGGTAGATCTTATATATTTATGTATAATTAATATCATATATTCCTTAGCGTACAACCTTATAAACTATATATTCCCAGTTATGTTCCATAGCTCATAGGTGGCTTAACATGTTTTTGCCATCTGAAAATGGGCTACCACCAATTCCACTGCTTTCTACCCAAAGATCCATGTTGTTGATGTGTCCAAAAGCACCCAGATTGGATTCACCATCCCCCCAAAAAAATCGGCTTACGGCAGCTTTACCCATTGTCCCACAGTATTCACCATTTTTATCCATTCTTCACTTTCCCACATTCTAAAAAAAAAATCACAACATAAATCACATATAAATCACCATGAACTCACCATGATTAACTGATTGACCATTTAAATCACCATTGATTCACCATTGATCCACCATGAAATCACCATGAAGATCTCCCGAACTCGGAGACCGGCGAGATCCTGAGGTCGTCCTCCTTTCTGGCGCGCGAGCGACGCCTGAGCGCCGGCCAGGAGATCTTGAAAGACCAAGAGAGGATCCTGGGAGATACCCAGGTGGGCAAGGGATGGGGAGATGGGAGGATGGGAGTGTACACTATATAATACTATATTATATTATATATAATATATATATATATTTATGTAGTGTAGATTATTGTGGGTGATACACATTTTTTTGTATATTTTAATTGTGGATTATTTATCTAATTATATATATATATATCTAGGTGATGGGTCATGGCTCCCATGGAAAGTTCGAACCAGGTGGTTGTTTCTTGGGGCTGGGTTGATAGTAATCATATATGATACGGATCTCATTATATGGGTATATAATACATACCTAGACCCTCCAAGTACCCATATACACATGCTGTTTTACGCCATGATTTTATCTTAGTACTTTTTGCCATATTTTTTGGGTGGTATTTGGAGGGTCTAGGTATATATGTATGCATGGAGAGATGATCTACATGACTACATATGACTACATGAGGCTGAGATGCAAAGCTGATGGAACATGAACCTCATTACACATATTGGCAAATCATATTAGGTAGGTTATATGAAATGAATGTCCTATGGATATTACACCTACAACATGAATATGAACCTCATACGGAACATTAGCAAATTATATGCTTATCATATTGACCTACATGTTTTAATCATAATCCATGGGGAAAGTGGATCATAGGATATGGGTGGCCCAATGGGACGGCGTCGTGGAGCCAAAAAAAATGGCTGTGTTTCAACTCCCATTGATATTTTTGGATATTTTTGGGATATTACTATCATATGATATCTTGATATTACTATCATATTAAAAAAAAACAAACATGATTGATATTTTGAGCGTCAAAACATCATGGTTGTTTCCTCCGTAGGTCGAAGTGGTGAATCAGAGGGAGGAGTGGAGAGGCGGCGAAGAGTCGGACGAAGAGCAGGCAGAGCAGGCGGGAGCGGCTAAGCTGTTGGAACTGTTGGAGTGTGCCGTCCATTTCTTCACCAAATGGGTAAGTGGGGAAATGATGGGGATTTACCCTCTGGTAAACTAACATAACTATGGAAAGATCCACCATGTTTCATGGGAAAATCCACTATTTCTATGGCCATTTTCAATAGCTATGTCAAATTACCAGAGGGTAACCGGTTAGTTGATGCTTAGAGGGCATGATGCTTCCCAATATATTTGAGGATGATCGTAATCCACTTTTCGGGGAATCCTTATTCACCAACCAGCATCAGGGACGACAGATGGTTTTGAACACTCAAATGGAGATTAAAAAAAAGAAAAATGCTGGTAAAATAGGGATGTAATATATTGTAATATTACATAAAAATTATGTATCGACTCGAACTCTTATTGATTATCATGATTACCAACTGTTAAAGTCAGAGCTTTTAAATATCAAGGATGAATGGGAGATGTAATCATTTATGGAAATCTAATTATACCAACATCCGGCTGGACAATTTACTGTAGGTTTGTCTGAAAGGATAGGGTAGCCCATTCCATCCACTGGTTCACCACCTTTCCTATTGTCATTGTGACAATAGTAATTTAGGAGGTATATGCAATTTATAGACCCATTTAGCAAGAACTTGTTTTATGTGATTGGTGTAAAAGTCCAATGTTCTTAACCATGTTTATTGAGAAAATTCTCAACATCAAACCTTGGTTTTGGAAAAAAACAAGATCAAATCTTGAACTGGAAATTGGATATGTGTTTTCACATGGTTTGATGATGTTTCGATGGGACATGTTGAAACTACCTATGACTTGGGGGCCTTGAATTCGCATCTCATTTTCAGGTTGTTCTCTTTACTGAACCTCTAAATCCCATGGCGTATCATCATTTTCCCCAATTGCCCGAAATTGGGGGTACTGTAGCCCCATTTTCAGACTGACAAACCCAACATATCATATTAAGTTGGTCAAATAAATATTCTAACAGTACATACATTTAATATCATTCAATATCATATATCTACATATATATATATACATATATATATATATACACATCATTAAATCCTCATGAAATCCCATTAAAATCCCATTAAACTCCATGAAATAGTTCCTGCTTAAATCCTATGAACATGATGGTTTTGGGGTTCACCAATGTGCCAAGGCCCAGGAGCAACGAGAGCGCACGGTGAAAAGACGAGCCTCGGAATCCTTTGAAAAGAGAGAAAGTCGACTGCAGCAGGCCATAGCCCCATGGCCCCATGGGCCCCATGGTTCATAATCTTGTTCTATAGATGGGGATATATCTAATATAATTCTATATATGCATTACATACTTATATATATATATGATAATATTTCCTTTATACCTAGACCCTCTAAATACCTTCAAACAATGGTAAAAATTCTACAAAATAGACGGGTAAAACACAATTTTTGTGGGTACTTTTGGGATCTATGTAAGTTTATATACAGTACGATGGATGACACGTTTATTTTTTGCGGCCCATCGAAGATTGGCCATCGCATCAGCAATCATCCATGCTTTGCAGTACAGCGATATGGGTTAGATTTCTGGGATAATAACCCCTATGTAAAATAACCTCCATAGATATTAATGGAACTAATGCCAACACCGGATTAATGACCCCCCCAGAAGGTAGGGGGGGTACCTTCTGGTTAGTTTCTTGACCCCCCCTTAATAAGAAGCAACTCTGAACCATAAAACTTTGGATATGGCTTACGTCAATTAGATCTTAATAGAATTCTATTGGATTTGTTAAAATCTCATGGATCAGAAAGGTGGTTGATTAATCAGGGGCAAACCCTGGTTATTATTAATGGGGGACATGGGCTCATGGGGGGTACCCTTTGGGAGCTATCCAAACTGATGATTTTTATAAAGATTTTAATTAAACATCGATCATTTGGGGAATAGTTGTTTTTTGAAATGTTCAATGATCAACTTAAACCTTAAGTATACAATGATGAAAAAAAATGTAACAAATAATTGGAAATAAATAGAATTGGAAATAAAAATTGTTGGATAAAAATTGATTTCAGCACTGGTGGTTGTTTAATCGGGGGTGTTTATTAATCTGGGGGGACCACCTGTTTTTGAATTGCATTTTTTTGGGGGGAGGAGGAGGTTGATTAATAACGGGGTGTTGATTAATCCTGACTTGACATTATGTTAGATGTTTTAGTGACGTCCATATCGATACTATGAATTGGGGTCCCCAAGAATTTTCAGTGTATGTCCTTATGGAAAACTGCACCCCAAGAACTGTTTTTTACAGGAAGATCCGATCTTATAAATGTTTGTTAGTCGACAGTAGTGGATTTTATAGTGATTTTATAGTGATTTTATAGTGGATAATAGTGAATGATAATTAATAGATCATAGTGGATACAGTAACGGATTTTCTGGTGGATCAACGTTAGTTTAAACCCTGGTAAGCCTTGGTCGCCTTTCCCTGCGAGCCACAGGGCGCACTGGTGCAGCTTCGTTCCAGCTTCAGCCACTCGGTCAAGAGTCCTAAAAGGTCCCAACAGGGCTCCGGGCTCCTAAAAGTTGCTATCCTTTGCAACGGTTTGTGGCAAGTGAATCCACCAACAATAATGGTGGTTTTATGGGAAAATCATAGGAAAACCATAGGAAAATGGTGGTTATACGGTAAGAAAAACATAAAATCAAAAAGTTCTAACGTGTTCTAAGAAATCAATTTGTTCAAACTAAAACTGAAATAACATTGAAACAAATACAAAATAATCCCAAACAAATCCAAACAACTCCACAAAGTTCCAACAAAAATAATCCACACAAATCAAAACACAACAAACAAAAATGAAGAAAATCTCAAAAAAAACCTTCAAATCTTGCTTTTGAAATAATCAAAAACATATTATGACAAATGCTTGCTTGTTTGGACCGAACAATCACTACTGTATTTGGAATAAAATGGAATTATTTGGAATGAAATTGAATTATTTGGAATTATAGTAAAATGAATGAAAAGGAATGTTCTAGGAGTGTCCCTCTAAGAGATATCACCCTCCGACAATATATTATGGAAAATTGGCCATTTCTCGGTGATTTACCTGTAGCAATGGTGATTTTCAATAGTTATGTTAAATTTTCAGAGGGTGTAACCACTATATATATATATATTTATGGATTATGTTTGATGTTGTAACTTGATATGACTTCGGGTTGTGTTTTCATACGCGGCCGGTCCGAAAATGCGTTCACCCTGTTTCAGCAGTACGGGAAGTGCTGTTTTCAGCTCAACCAATTCTCCAAGCGGTTTGAAGACAATGAGTATCCACCGCAAATGGGTTGGTCCAAACATGCAGCAAAAAAACATGCAATTTCAATACAGGGTAAAATATCATGATAATCCAGCGGATTTTATACGGGGGACCGTCCCATAGTTTCCCGTTCAAAGTTGGGATTTTATTGGTAACCCCGAAAAAGATGCCGAAGTTGGTCAAATCTTAAGAGCATCGTGATAAATTCAACTTTCTCGGCATCGTTTTGGGGCTCACTCTCCTGTAAACTATAACATAGATGTGGAAAACCCACCATGAAAGTAGATCATTTTCAGATCTTTTCCCCTATGGGTTTTCCACATCTTTTGGTATGTATGTTTACCCTAGGGTAATCAACCATTAGTAACCAATATACACTAATCCATTATTAACCATTGTCAACCATTAGTAAGTAATATTAAGATGAACCAAAAAAATCAGCACTATTAACCACTCTTATAAACCAATCTGAACCATTGAGTATCCCCATGAATTCACCACCATACCCCCGGAGCTCGCCGTTGACCGTTGCCTCGGCGGGGCGCGCAGCGCCAAGGTGAGGCCAGCGTCATGTCCTTTGACCAAAGCGGCAGAGCTGCCGAGCCGCCACGGGAAGATCGGTGTAGCGACCGATGCACCAACATGTGTGTCCTCTCCTAAAATGTGGTTGAATTCTTGGGATTAATTAGTTGATGTATGTTGATGTTAAATGATCCATGTTAGATGGTTGTTAAACTCGAATGTTAGATGGTTGTTAAACTCGTTGAATGTTTGTTGTTGAGTTGATGTTAAATGCACATAAATGATCCTGATGTTGTTGGATGGTTTTTGTTGGGTTAAATGGTCCTGAAGTCGTAAAATCTTTGTTGATGATTTGTGCTGTTCCACAAGTGTTAGATTTTTTGGGGTGAAATTGATATAAATTAATGTAAAAGTATGTAAAAGAATGTAAAAGTTAACAATTGGTAAATCCCAGAAAAGAACTTGTTTGTCACATGTTGGTGAAGTCTTTGTTTGAGCCCAGCCTTGGCTTCTCAACGGACGCACTCGATTTGGCGCGAAGGCGTTGCACCACGCAAAAAAGATCACAGCGGTGACACCGACCGGTGGTGCTCCAGCCGGGCAATGTGTGATTTTACCTCGTTTCAAAGAAAAAAAATACAGGAACATTTGCAAGAGACTAATTTTGGACAATCCTGGATAACTTGTGGAAAATCATGTGTTTTGTAATAAGTTGTAGTTACTTCTTTTGATGTCCATTGAAAAATCAACTAGCAGACCGCTCTAAAAGGACCAACTGGTTCACTTGTGGTGTTTTCTTTTGAAAGCTATACTTTTATTATCCATGTGTAAACTTGATAAAAAGGGTCCTTGATCAGTTTTTTGCTTGGTTGTGTGTCCCGTGCGCAAAATCATGCCCGAATTGCAATGCGTTTGTGGATATTCATTTGCATGTATTTAACGATGATAATTTGGTACAATTTTGGAACTTTTTTTTGATAATAGCCCATTTAAACAGATTAAAACCAAATTCAACAATTTAATCAATTTTAACCAACATTCAACCAATTTGTTTCAAATGTACCAAACATTTAATTTAACCATATTTAAGAGGTTTTCCACCTGCCAGATGAGGGTCTCTAGAGTTTAGCAAAGTGGTTACCAACTCCTCCTCCTCCGTCCTCCTCCAGTTGGTTGTGGCTGGTGGGTACCAATGGACCCGAACACATACCATTGAGAATGTCAGATAGAATGCCAGACAGAATGTCAGAATAGATGTCGGATAGAATCTCAGTTGGTCGGGATCACTCGAAGAAAGTAATTCATGTTTTCCCCCTTGGCATAGGCTTGCTGTGGCTCTTGACATGGACCAGGTTCTGTTTCAGTACGGATCTCCTCTCAGCCGTTTTGGCACGAAAGCGAGTGGTTCAGTGCCGCCTGCTACCAGTGGTCCGCACCACTGAGTTCCGACTCATCGATTTCGAAGCTTGGCAGAACCAAGTGACACTGGTGACACTGGTGACACTGGTGACACTGGTGACACTGGTGACACTGGTGACACTGGTGACACTGACACTGGTTGATTTTTACCGAATAGAAGCATTTTACCCCATATTTGGACCGTCACAAAATAGATCGTTCACATAGCAATCATTCACCACCAACTTTGTGCGTCGGTGACCCAATTGTTGACCAAAGTAAACGTTCCATCAACACAGCACTTCGTTTGACCTCAGTTTTTGCAACATCATACCTAAGTACTCAGTACATCTCAGTACCATATATATTAACATGTCATAGCCCAGTTGTCCTTCTATGTCATGTTCTGGATCATATTCGTGTTGTTTTCTTTTCTGCAAAGGAGCACTACTTGGACATCCCAGCTACTGATTACTATGTGGGCAATAGCTATAACGATACGTATTCTAATCCATTTCTATGAGATCACCACACTTATTGTAGTATGATCATACAAATAGATTCATTATAATTACGTATATTTAATTATTATAAGCATATTTAACCAATGTTTATAAGATCTAAGCATAATCGTAGGATTTTACCATCCCATTCCTGGGATGCAAAGCGCGTCAGCTTGAGCAGCTCAGGATCATACCAGATTGTGCCAATCTTCCAGGTCCGTGAGAAATGGGGCTGGATGGATTTGCCAAAGTTGTTGGTTGAGGATTCATATTCATGGATGGTTGTATATATATAATATCAATATTGATATAAAATAGTTTTATAATAACAAATAGATGATTGATACCATTCATAATTACTAATTGTTCTATATACAACAATAATAATACTAATAGGCGGTTAATGATCATAATTTTAGTAATCAATCATATATTTTGTGTGTGTTTTGTATGTTAGAGTTGTTAGTGGTTGTTTCTTCCTTTAATTTTTGCACTCTGTGCCTTCATGGATCATCAACACCAATAGACCAATGGTACGAATGTTCATGCCTTCATTAGTTGGCAATTCATGGCTTTCAGATATTTAAGAGATTGATACGTTCCATCCCTTGAGCAACAAGTTCTGGTAGCTACCAACCAGGAAAAGATCACAACAAGTCGATTTGTCAACCGGAGCTTAGTTGAGGAACGCACAAATCCTGACAAAGCTCAAGGGTGGTTCTGGCTTGGCTGTCTTGAACAGGTGTTGGAGGTAGCAGCGAATGGATAGTTTCTGATTTGTGCAACGACAAACCTTTGGTCAAATTGCTTTGTCCAGTGGTTTATCATCATGTTTCTCATGAATAAACAGGGCAATTTGCTGGTGGTAAAACCAGTACTGATGGTATCCCCGTATCCCCGGGACAACCTTGGTTGAATGTTTGGGTGTCCAAAAAACGAAGCTAGAGCTGAGCTCTATGCCCACCGAAGCTTCGGTTGTCAGGTCCCACACATTGGAAAAGATGGCCCTCACGAACAGCGTCATTGCAGACTTCCGGACATGTCTTGGGGTGGAAAGAACAGATGGTTTTAAAAGGAAACATCCGTGGCTGTCAAAAGTACAGACCGCCAACCCAAACTGGGTAATGTTCATTTCAGGCAACAGGCATGTTCTGTTGGGTCAGGTCAGTTTGATGAGGTACTTAGGTGGGTAATATGAGTGAAATTCCAAGCACTTTCAGCTAGCCGATTCTGGCCGTGCCTAGCTATAGATGAAAGATCTGTCATGAAATAGACCAGTGGGTGTTAGGCTGAGCCTAGTTTTGTTAGGCTAAACTCGCTGCCTCTCCGCACGTGGCCCGTGCCAGCCTTTGCCGAGTGCTATGGAAGTGGATGCCGCTAAAGTGGCATTTGAATCCTTCGGAGAGGCAGCAGATTTACGCGAGGGCAATAGGAATTGAAATGATCGAACATTGTTTTAACATGTTTTAACCATTCCCAAACCTCTTTTGAGGATTCCATGTCCAATTGCACCAGGGTTCCACATTCCACCATTTGGTGCACCAGCAATTGCACCATTTTTTTCCCCAGGTCTTTCGGGTGAAGCGGTTGGAGAAATTCAACAACTTCGTGCAGGTCTTTCGGGTCGGCAACTCATGGCACATGGATGATATCAACTGTAATATGGGATAATGGCCTTACTATACCCAGATGCTCCATGGTGCTGGAATATTTACCATTATTTACCTACATTTGGGCAATTTTTGGGGTAAATGTAGATAAATATTCCATACATGGAGCATCTGGGATAGTGATAATAATAGTAGATATTGGCCCTACAGTGAGAGCTGAGGAGTTTTGTTTTTTTCTTCGGATGTTCTTCGTCACAAAATGGGATGGATTTGCAATTTGGAGCTTTCCCGAGTTACAAGTCATTGTTTTACTGATGATCTACAGATAGTCACTATATATTTGGTTGGGGGTTTGAAATATTTATTGTTGTTCAACCATACTTGGATGATTGGGTGAGATGACACGCATATTTTTTGAGTTTGGGATGGGTGTTAAAATGTTTTAAAAATGAAGAAAAAACATCAACCAAGCCTGATCATGTTGATCATGTTCTTCTGGTTTGAACTAATATAATATGGTATGTATAATATCCTGGTGACATTATGATCATATCTCATATATATATATATATTCATCTCATTTCACAGCCTATCCTGATCAACCAGATCATATCATGGCTAAGGCTAAACGTTTGAGATGTCTCACAGTGTGTATATATATATATGTGTGTGATATCTTGTTGAGACATGATATATCTACTTTGGGATAGTTGTATTAAAACCAAGGTCAAAACATGTCCTGATTTGTTTTTGAAATAGATCTTTGGAATTAATAGTTGTTTCTTTTCATGATAATTGGGATCACGATTTAGAAGATGAACCAGAGGGTAAATCCTAATACATTCTATCCTCATGATATCCATGTGAAATCACCATTGATTTAGTGGTGAAATCCCATGAAATCACCATTTTTTGGAATTACATCTTTGTTTAAAAACTCAACCAGAGATCATCTCCGATGCGGCGGGTCAGGTGATCTTCTATGACGTGCGCTCCGCGGCTGCTGCCTTGAAGGTGGCCGCGAAGAAAATTCATGGAGATATGCACGTTAGATTCATGGGGATATAATGTGAGTTCGAACTAGTAAGATTGATGGTTGATGGTTGATGATTAGATTGATGATGATAGGTTATTAAAGATGATTCTACGTAATCTACATGAGTATAGATGATTTCCGTAAGAACAACTCAATTTTTTGACGACCCAGTTTCTCGAAAAAGGCCTTTGGCGAGGCAGGCTGCATTCCCGGACCCCAGGTCGGCAGGGATGCTCAGCACAGGCTCACAGAAGGACCCACACGGTTGGTCCGGGGGACCAAACATACCTAGCGGATCCTAGGACCACTGAGAAGATTCCGTTCTCGATTTTTCGAGATGTCAAAGCGGACATAAAATGATATACCAAGGTCACATTCCAGATTGATCATTTTTTTTGGTGGGGATATCACAGAATACCAATGAAACCACCCCAGCGATGAGGGATGCACCATGCGGCCATGCGGGATGCCCCGAGGTGAACGAACTGTCAAGTTGGCAGGGGACGATCAACTGTCTACGAAGGCCGGTGGTGTCCCCCAGTTAGAAGTTGGTTGATCGCCCGAAATATATAAATAAATAGACATATATATATATACATACATGTATATATACACACACACTATAAACATATAAAATGTAACTAGACTGTTAGACATCATATTACATATAACTATATGGTAGAACCATCATGGAATATCCATCATACCTATCCGACTTCCAGCAACTTAAGGATTGGTGGCACCACCTCTTGGTTGCCAGGATTTTCAGAATATCTCGGAGGTCCTCAAGAGCAAGGTCTGTGAGTTGTGGATTCGCCGAAAGACATCGGAGATAGTCAAAGTACCCTGGGTGATGGATTGGTCAATAATGATAATAATGGTTAATATAGGGACTTCTACATACTTCTACCTAGTCTATTGGTGATTCGGATCCCGAATGTGATAAACCATGGCAAAGCCAACAATGAACTGTCCCCAATATTACCATTTTTATGGCTGCTAAATATCATCCCAAATGGTAGATTTATTATGGGGCTTACCGCATTACTAGGGCAATCTATCGACCAATTGGTATATACTTGTATAGTGATATTTGATAAGGGGTATTAGTGGCTCATCTAAAAGCTAGGAAAAAACACGAAAATCTGACAAAACACCCATTTGCACTCATATATATCATGACTAATACTGAAATGTTGGTTATATATGTATGTATATATATACACATATAATGTAATATATATACATTTTAAATAGTCATCTGATCGATTGTCGGCATCTTGTTTTTCCAAAGACTTTCTGTTCAGTCTTTTCAGAAATGCGGCCCTCAGCGTGCTGCAGGATGGCACGTTTTTTTTGGAGTTCTATGACATTCGCGATGCAATGCGCTATCGAACTCCTAAGGAGACGGCACACCAGGCTTTCACGCGATAGACAATTTAGTTTGTGCACTCCGGCAATTCAAATCACAGAGCTATGGAATGCTATGGACAATGGACATTAGATTATCATAGATTATCTACCTATTATTTAGCTATTTAACGTGGTTAGTGTCCATTCTCTGTGTGACATGACCAGGGAGAACAAGCGACTTTGACTGGCTGCCATGTTCAGTCCAGGTGGCTATCGCCTGTTGAGATCTACATGGTTCATGACCCATAGCATGGTCTGAAACTTGGGTTAGTTTTTCACCATGTATGAACTCCAAGATACCCCAAGTCTTAGAAGTTCAATGTCAATAAACCATATATATATATGCAATATATACATATATATATATATGCAACAATATGGTATGAACATATATTCAAGAAACCATCATTGACAGATACCAAGTGTTGGAAGCAAGGGATAGCAATGGATAGCAATTCCGACCAACTCATGGCATCCGTCGAGGAGAAAGCGACCATTGATCTGCCTCCAGGATTGCCTGCTTCGCAGGAGAGACTGGCTGATCAGTGACTGAGATCGTAACATCGTAAGGCGTGTACTGTAGACCGATGTATAGTATATGTAGATGGAGTCATAGAGTATGATAGAGTGTATTTTTTAAGTAAAACATATATTGTCTTTGTGTCTTTGTATTTCGCGTTGTATCCATAGTTCATGCCCTACTTGCTGTGCATTTATATCATCTCACAATTCACATCCATGTGCCACAGCTAAGAGCTGGGTGAATTGAAAGCACGCTCCGGTCTCATCAGGTCCTCCTTGCGAGTCGGAAGATTCGGAAACTTGAGACCATTGAATGCCATTGATTCATATTAGGCTTTGTGCAAAAGAGAACTCCCAAATCCCATATATAAGATATGATATAATCTATATATATATGTAACCTGTATATGTTAATATGTATATATTAATATGTATAGATCGTCTTTTTTAATTAAACATTCGAAAAGCTATTCAAACCTTAGTTTCCTCAGATGAAAATCACAAGAGTCCAGACATGCCCCATTTCCGGACCTGCCAGGAGCCGCTCAACCTCAGGTGGGCTTGGGAATCACTAGGCTGCCAGGAGCCACTTAAAATCTTGGCGAAATCCCTTAGAGAAAATCCTTAAAGAAAACCATGGAAGGGATGGGATGAGCTGGGTCAAGATTTTGTCGATGTGAAGTTGAAGTTGGAGGCGGCTCGTAGTGAACAGTTTTGCTTCTGGTGATACTGAGGGCATGTTGACATTCACATGAAATTCACTGTGTCCGATCTGTAACACCGGTGTATGCAGGGCCCCACCCGGCCTGACTGATGCGGTTCGGGTGTCCCAGCTGGGGTGGAGCATCAAGTGTAATCATCACATATCAAGTTCGTGATCTCTCACGGGTGAGAGATGGTGAAAGTTCAGAGTCTGGCCCATTCAAACATGTTCAGACAATCTATTGTTGTGAAACATGTTGGTTTGGCCCAGAGTTCTTCAAGACCGAGGCCGGGTTGCAATGAGTGTTCTACTGCGAATCAGCCACTTTATGGGCTGGGATCATGATGGATTATGCAGTTGGATGCAGTTGGTAGGTGCGTAGTTTTTAATGATGTAGGTTTGAAATGTGTCCCAAATAGACCTGGTAGGATCGCCAAGTTCAGAGCCTGTTTTGAGCAAAGGACTCTGCATGGCAAAGGAAACTTAAGAATGACATTTCTCTAAATTGGGGAACCCTCAAACCATCGGATTTCCTCAGAACTATGAGAATTTTGGTGGGTTTTGGTGGTTCTTTTTTCCGGTATTGGTATTGCCATAGCCCCCAACTCCAAATCGGGACTTGTGTGGTGTCGAGAAATCTCGAGGTCTCAGATTGGCAGGCGCGAAGTGGCGGTTGAACCCCCAAGGGTTGTGGGAACAGAAGTGTTGGGTTTGGCTGAAGAGGATACCCACAGTTATAGCCATTCTAACAGGGAAAATCGGGAGAATAATCTGAGAATCTGAGAATCCATTGGAATTGGGGATAATAGCAATATTTTATAATATTTTCAGACAAGATGAACATCGTCACAGTTCCTGGAGCTTGTTCGCAGATCTGCAGGTTGTGCTGGGACATCTGCCCGCGAAGTTGTTGACAGAGGCCTGAGCTCGACGGTGATCGAGCCAAGTGGAAAGCCAAGAAGATAACTTGGGGTGCAAACGGGGCAAGTAGAAATGAATCCAAAAATGATCCGAATTTGGAGCATCCAAAGCATAGAATACTTATTTGAGGTGGGTAAGTTGCAGGATGTTCACCAGGAACTATGACTTTGATACCCAGATTCCAAACCTCATCGATTGCTGATGCAGTGGTTGATCTGGCTCCCGGTTCGGATCCCGCAAGTGGATCACCCACTGGACTGACTGCCCCGAAAAATCTCCCACTGGACTTTCACCGGAGTAACAAGCCTGGGATGAGGCAGCGGCAGTATCATCAATCAATATAATAATATATATAATAAATATAATCAATATCAAATATTGGATCAATCATCCCATGAATATTCCTTGAGGATCCCAGATATCCAGGTGTTACTGGGATTCCCAGTGGCTGAATCCACGCAGGTCATGCTTGAAGCTGCAGCATCCTCAGAGCGATGCGACGGTTTTTTTTTTTCTGGCGGCGGAGCAATGACGGTAGCCTCGTTTGAACGAAGGCCCCTATTTGATTGGGATCATTTGAGGGAAAATGTGTAATTATTTTTAATATCTATGTCATCTAATATATTCTAATATCATATATTATATATATACATATTGTAATATATGGTGTTTTTATCGATATATACACAGGAAAGCAGTTTTTTGCTGAATGA